CGTAGGAGAAGGATCTCCTCGCAAGAGGTCATACAGGGGTTTGAGCTCTCCAGTTGGAATATGAAAGGACGGGCGCAGCCACTGTATTTCTCCGAGGAATGTCTGCCACTGATGTAAAGTTTTGAGCTGATTTATCTGGAACTGGGGTCTCTGGGGAAAGATTCCTATGTTATTAATGATGTATCCCAAATAATTGTAAGGGTGTTGAAACTGCACCTTTTCGGGTGCTATGACCAGCCCTGCCCCTTTTAGAAGGGATTGGAGGACTTCATAAGATTGAAGAAGCCTTTCTTTCTTGGGCCCTGCCAGTAAGATGTCATCCATATAATGAATGAGGTAGAGCTGTGGGAACTGCTGTCGAAAGGGTCGCAAAACCTCAGCTACAAAATATTGGCACATTGTAGGACTATTAGTCATCCCTTGAGGTAGGACGGTCCATTCATACCGTTGGTAAGGTTCCCTAAAGTTTGTGGAAGGCAAGGAGAAAGCAAAACGCTTTCGGTCTCGTGGGTCTAAGGGGATAGAGAAGAAACAATCTTTTAAATCTATAACAATAAGATGCCAATCCTTTGGGATCGCAGTAGGAAAGGGTAGCCCTGGTTGTAAGGGTCCCATGGGTTGCATAGTTTTATTAATAGCTCGTAGGTCCTGAAGAAGTCTCCACTTCCCAGACCCCTTTTGTATAACAAAAATAGGGGTATTCCAAGGGGAGGTAGAGGGCACCACATGTCCTAACTTAAGCTGGTCTTGAACTAATAGGGAAGCGGCCTGTAATTTGTCCTTAGTTAGGGGCCACTGTTCTACCCACACAGGGTCATCTGATAACCAAGTAATGGACAGTGGAGGTGGCCGCACTTCAGTGGCCCCTAGGATAAATTTCCCAGTCCTCTCCGGTCTCTTCCCCGCCGGGTAACCTGTTCTGCTGGATCCACGGGTGATATTCTGCCCTCATGTCTCTTTCCTAGTCCCCTTCCAGGGATCCATCCCATGTCTAGCATTGCATCATTAACAAAGTCATTATTTCCTTTCAAAGTCTGGGTAGTGAGAATAGCCCCCATTTGATGAAGCAAGTCCCTCCCCCAAAGATTCGTGGGGAGTCCAGTCACCACATAAGGCTGGAAATGGCCACTATGTCCTTCGCCATCTCTCCATTTTAAAAAGGAGGCACTTCTTTTTGGTCGGGTCTGTCCTATCCCCTGTAATATGGCCGAGGGACTCTGGAGGGGCCAGGCAGGTGGCCATTGTTTTTCAGAAATGACAGAGACATCCGCCCCCGTATCTAGTATTCCCTTGAAAGCCTTGTCCTGTATCTCAATGGTCAGGTTGGGACGCGAATCCAAATGAGCTACCCAAAAGGCCTGGGGAGTTCCAGTGGAGCCAAAGCTGCCGTCGCCCCGGGACCCACGGAGGGTGTGCCCAGGAATGGAAGCTAAGGTAGCAGCAGCAATTGAGCTATACGCTCCCCGGGGGGAAGAATAACAATTCCTTGGGTAGCTTCTACTACTATTTTTATTTCTCCCTGATAATCAGCATCAACAACCCCCGTAAGAATCTTCAAGCCCCACTGAGTTGCGCTACCTCGTCCCAACACTAGTCCCACCGTCCTCTCTGGCAGGGGTCCAAAAACCCCAGTAGGCAGCGTCTGAGGTCCCATTTGGGGAGTTAATACCGCTCGGGAGGTGGAACTGAGGTCCAGTCCTGCGCTTCCTGGTGTTCCCCTGGGGAGTTCCCAGATAGAAAGGGGTTGGTCAGTGGGAGGCGGCGGAGACGCCCACTCCCTGGGGCACTGTTCTGTCCCTGCACTGCCCCGTACACTTTGGCTTCCGGGGCCCGGGGCGGGCCCCTGCTCCCGTTTCCCGACGGTATTGGGTTACCCTGGATGTCAAATTTTGACCTGCACTCACTGCTCCAATGATTTCCTTTATGACATCTAGGACAAATTCTAGGCATCCCTCTGCCAGCACCCTCGCTCCTTTCCGGGCAGTTTCTCTTTATATGTCCCTCTTTCCCACACTTAAAACACCCCTTAGAGCGGGTTCCCCTGTTATCAGATTTTTGCATTCCAGTCTTAAGGGCAGCAGCCAAAACCTGACCAGTAATATGAGGCCCATCTATATCTTTGCATGCTCGAATCATGTCATCTATACTTTTGGCCCGGGAGGACTTAATAGCATTTTGGCAGTAAGTGTTAGCGTTTTCATATGCCAGTTGTCTAATAAGTGGCATAGCCTGTTCTAGATTAGGGAATATTTTTCCAGCAGCCTGCATTAGGCGGGCTATAAAGTCCGAATAAGGTTCAGAGGGTCCTTGAGAGATCTTGGAAATTTTTGCTTCAGTCTTAGAAACGGGCAGGGCTTTCCAGGCATGGACTGCAGCTGAGGCTATTTGAGCATAAACACCTGGGTCGTAATTAATTTGTTGGCCTATGGTGGCATACTGCCCAGTTCCTGTCAACATTTCAGCATTTCGCCGTTGATGGCCCGCATTCAGGTTAATCTGAGCCAGCTCGCGGCACCTTTCATGATATTCACTTTTCCACAATAAGAAATCCCCTCCAGATAACACAGCCCTGCAAAGTTGCTGCCAATCATTGGGTATCAGTTGACTGGCTGAGAAAGACTCGAAGAGGGTCAATGTGAAAGGGGCATGAGGTCCATAATTAATGACCGCCTCCTTAAGCTGTTTTATGTCCTTGAAGGCTAGGGGGACATGGGCTCTGGCCGGCTGTCCATCAGCATCGGCGTTTTCAATCATTGGAAAAACCTGAGCCGCTCTAGAACCCCAGTGGACCCCCGCCCGTCTAGTAGGGGCGTCCTCATTCCAATCAGGATTATAGGGAGGAGGTGCGGCAATTGAGGGGGCCCTAGGCACCCTCACATTTGCCCTTTTAAGGCGATGTTCTAGTTCCTCTATCTCCCTTTCTAATCCCTCCTCTTCCTCAGAGAGAGAACTGAGGTCCTCAGGATCCTTTTTGGGCTTAGAAATCTGGAGGCGTTTCCTACCCTCCGAGCCCGAGTCCTCAAGGGGACCCTCATCCTTTAAGGATTCTGCCATTTGCTCTTCCTGCACCTGATTAAGGGCCTGTTCACATTCAGCAAGCTGATCCTTGATCTTTACTTTATCTGTTAATAAAGCATCCTTTACCAACCTCCATAAGGAAAAGGTGGCAACTGGGACACTGTCCGAGCCCCGGTCCCTCAATAATTTCTGAAGGTCATGCCTCACCAGGTCCCAGTCACTATTATTAAGAAATCCTCCTGTCAGAAACCAAGGACAAGCCTGGGCAATAATTTCAACGAATTCGGTTGCAGTCTTAGTTTTTATTCCTGTTCCTTGTGTATTTAACAGCTCTTTCAGTTCGTTGGCCAGACGAACCTTCGCTGTTGAGTTACCCATGGTACGTACCCTGTCTCTTTAAAATATCTTTAAACCAATCCTCCCCCTTCTTTCTTAGAAGGTGAGCCCCGTCCGCTTACCCCTGCTTTCCGGATCTCGGTGGGAGCCTCCAATTGCCGCGTCCGGCCAAGGGAGCCGAGTCCGGCGAGGGACGGCGAGGTTAAAAGACACACAGGACACCAAGGTTCTTCATCCAGGAGTCAATAATCTTTATTGCTAACACACCTTTTTTATACCCCAAGCAGCAGAAGTGGAAAACTACCCAAAAGCAGGAGGGAGGGGGGAGAAATTTAGTTTCAACATCTATTATTGTCAGGTACCGAAACCTCCCTTAACAATAAGTCCATCAGACCAGAAAAGGTCAAGGCATTCCCGTGGGATACATATGTCTCAGACGGACAAGCAGGAACAGAAAAACCGCAAGTTCGCCATGGCCTTGTGAGCTGGCCACACTGGCATGCAGAACAAACTAGTGGAGGTAGGGCTCCAGGGGCCAGGGTGGACCTGCTGCCAACAAGTGGTCAAGTGCCCCTGAGTTCAATCCCCAGTACCAAAAAAAAAAAAAAAAAAAAAGGTATAGTGCTTTTCTATTTAGGTGTAAGAAAGTAAATAGCAGTACAGTCACATGTAGGGTAAAAATGAGAGATTCTTCCCCAACTTCATGACAGCTTTCTGCAAAATCTTGGGTATGTGTTCCACCAGACCATTAATTCCCAATCTTGGCTATTTCAGGGTCTCCTAGGAAGCTTAAAAATCCCCAATGCTGCGGGGTATGGCACAGGCCTGTAAACCCAGCCACTGAGGAGGCTTAGGCAACATGATTGCAAGTTGGAGGCCAGCCTCAGCAACTTAGTGAGGTTTTAAAGAGTTTAGGGAGACTCTGTCTCAAAATAAAACATTAAAAGGGTTAGGGTTATATAGCTCAGTGTTAAAGTGCCCCTGGGTCAACCTCCAGTTAAAAAAACAAAAACAGAGCTGAGGTTGTGGCTCAGAGGTAGAGTGCTCGCCTACCATGCATGAGGCACTGGGTTCGATCCTCAGCACCACATAAAGATAAAATAAAGATACTGTTGTAACTAAAAATAAAACGAAAAACTGACCAAGTAAGTCAGGTCATCAATGGAAACCCAGGCATTCATATCTGATTTTCCCTAACCCTTCCCAGGGCAGGCAATGTTGAGGGGAGGGAAAAAATAAATAAATAAATATATAATATATTTATATAAAAATCTTTCTTTCTTTCTAAATAAATATATTATATATAAATATATATTTGTATAAAATTCTTTCTTTCTCTTTCCTTCCTTCCTTCTTTTCTTTCTTTCTACTGGGGATTAAACCCAAAGATGCTTTAGCTTTCAGACAGGGTCTCCCTAAATTGTTGAGGGTCTACCCTAAATTTCAAAGGCTTTTCTTGAACTTTCAACCCTCCTGCCTCAGTCACCCCAGACACTGGGATTACCGGCATGCACCATCATGAGGGACAAGAGCTGTCACGTCTTTTGCTAATATATTTTTAGCTCTTGTCTTCTTCATCAGGTTAACTCCTTCAACTTCAGGTTAACAGTCTTCAACTCTCACCTGCAAGCTGAAAGGTCACTTACTTCCTCAGGCAGCACTTTCTTTTTTTCCAGTATGCACTTTCCTTATGGTATTACATCCTCTTTGTTTTCGGTCATATCCATCCCCCACTCTCCGTGAGATCTAGCACAAGCCTGGCACACAACAAAAATGAGTGACTGCATAAATGAATAAAGTGCGTGAATGCAGAAGGTTATAGCATTATTTAGGAAAGATTAAGACGGACATGAGTAAACCCTCTGGGGCAGCAGCTGACTGTCCAGGACGTATCGGTGGCCCCAGCAGCAAAACCACACCCAAGGATCCCGAGACTGAGGCGCTGCCCTTGAACGCAAACTCTCGTTTGGCACAAACCTGGCAAGGGCATGCCTTTCTGGCTCTGTCCGCGCTGCGCGCCCTCCAGCCGAGAGGCGGCGCTGTGGAAAGACAGCAGCTTCCGGCCGGCAGTTTCCTTCCTTCTGCGGTCGGTGCCAGCACGTCCTGTTGTCGTTGGCTGCGTTGGGATGGCTTCCTCTGCTGTCTCTGCTACCAGTTCTTAGTGCTAAGTCTTCGCCTGACGCGCCGAGGGTAGCGGGTCTTTCTCCTTTGTCCCTTTCGCTTGCGAGTCGTCCTCAAGGACGCGGCTTTCCTGCAGTCGGCAGAATGGGCAGGGAGTCGCGGTGAGTTAGTGCGCCGAGCGGGCGAGCGGCTTCTCGGGGTAGGGAGAAGAGGCGGGAGTTGAGGTGGTGGCGGGGCCAGGCCTGGGGTGGCCTCCACGTGTGGCCACTGTGCTCCCCAGCCACTGAATGTGCTGGAGCCTTCTGCTGAGGGAATGTCTGTGCTTGGGTCGGTGATGGGCACATTCTTACCCTGCACTGCCATCACCCGTTTTGAGCCTCTGGAGCAAGAGCAGCCCTCCAGGCCGCCTGGGACGGGTCACCCCATCCTGCCACTTCCTACCCTGGTTGCCTCAGCTAGTAGTGATCCCAGTTGATTTTTTTTTTTTTTAATCGCTTCGCATTTGCAACATTTCTCGGCGCCTTTCTGTATTTCAGTTCTTTTTGCGCGGATTGTCTTTTCCCAAGTCGGTTGAAAGGACCGTGTGGGCATTTTTACTGCATCTTCAGCATTGTACTCGACCGGCTTTTACTGGGCTGCAGTATTTGTTGCGTGGATGTTTACTTCGCAAAAGGATTTCATATTTCTTTGTTATCTGCTTTCTGTATTCTTTAAACTCAGCTGGGAGACCTTATTAGGACTGTGAAATCTCTTAAGATTGTTGACAACTGGCTCAGGACCTTGACTCTTTTTTTTTTTTTTATCTTAAATATAAATATTTGATATGTATTTAGCAATGACTGAAAGATGCTTTATGTCTAGGGACAGTGACGGTTTTGCTTTGTTTTTAATGCTAAATGTTTTATTGTGGCATACTTTCAGGGAAATGAACAAAGTGTGAGTAGAGCTTGATGAAATTTAGCAAATATATGAATTGTGTAACCATCATCTGGATAAAGAATACTTCCTTAGCTACAGAAAAATCCTGTGAAGATCTTTTAAATTTCTCTAAAGGCATTTTGGTTTGGTTTGGTTTGGTTTTGGTACCAGGGATTGAACTCGGGGGGCACTCGACCACTGAGCCACATCTCCAGCTCTATTTTGTATTTTATTTAGAGACAGGGTCTCCCTGAGTTGCTTAGTGCCGTGCCCTTGCTGAGGCTGGGTTTGAACTCGAAATCCGCCCCGCTCCCCAGCCTCCCAGGCTGCTGGGATTACAGAGTCGGTCTGCCCTGGGCTTCCTAAAGGCATTGCCATTCATTTGGCTATTCAGACCAGAAATCTGGAAGTGATATTTGATTCGTCTTTTTTATTGCCTACATCTAGTTGGATTCTGCATCCTTTCCCCATTCCTGATCTCCCTCACTTGAGGCCTTTAATCACTTATTGCTAATACTTCTGCACCTCCTTCAAATTGATTGCTCCCTGAATTGATTATCATTCTTTGATCTTGCTTTTCTAATCATTAGAGCCCTCATATTGTCGCCAGAGAGACACTTGTGAAATAAAGATAAAATCAGTGTCATCTCCCTGACTTGTTTTCAGTAGCTCCTTTTGCTTCTAAGATGAAATTCAAACTTTGACAATAGCCTTCAAGGCCTCCTTCTAGCCTTTTAGCCTTCTGCCATACCTTTATGTCCTAGAGTGTGTGCTTTAGGTTTGTTCAAGCAGGAATGAAAGGCTCAGGTGGGAAAGAGCAGGGTGTTAGAGAAGTACTCTGAAGAATCCAGTTTTCCTACATATATGGGTTTCATGAAGGATTGAGAAGGAGAAGGTAGGTCTTGAAAAAACACAGAAAATGAATTATCAATTTAATTTTGAAGATAAAAATTTGTTAGCTTTTGAAGATTTTGAATAGGGTCAGAAGATGATCCTAGAAGCAGGAAGATCAGGAGTCTTTAAAAAAAAACTAGCTGGGCACGGTGTCTCAAACCTGTAATTCCAGTGGCTTAGAAGGCTGAGAGAGGAGGATGTCAAGTTTGAGGCCAGCCTCAGCAACTTAGTGGGGCCCTATGCAACTTATTGAGATCCTGTGTCAAAAATAAAAAGGGCTGGGGATGTGAATCATTGGTTAAGTGCCCTTGGGCTCAATTCCTAGTACCAAAATTAAAAAATAAAAAAATTACTCAGTAGTTAAATCTCATATGGATTAGTGACAGTGATAGCTCTGAAGAGGTGATATAATGTGAAAGGATTACAGAGGTGAAATTGGTAACCCCTGGTGTTTTATTGGTTGTGTAGAATGAAAAAAAGAAAAATATTCGAGTTAACTGATGTTTTGAGCCTAGTGACTAGAAGTTGGGATGATACATAGTTTGGGGTAGGGAAAGGTAACAAGTTTGTATTTCTACAAAAGATAAATCAGGTGTGATCATTCCTTAATGGTTTTATCCAGGATTATAGCTTTGAGTAGTCTTTATACACTAATGGCTCCACAGTATATATTTTCAGACCAAACCTCTTCAACTCCAGACTCAGATTTTACATATGGTTGTACATCTCCACTTGGATACCTAATATTCTGATTTCTTACCTTTCCCCTAAATGTACTCCTTCATTCTTTTCATGTTAGTACATTAGCAACTTTATTTTTCTTTTTGGTACTGGAGGTTGAACACAGGACTTCATGTATGTTGGGCAAGCACGGTACCACTGAGCTTCACTCCCGGCCCTATTTATTTTTATTCTTTTTTGAGATGGGGTCTTGCTGTGTTATTCAGACTGGTCGTGAACTTATGAGCTCAAGTGATCCTTTCTCCTCAACCCCTAGTAGCTAACAGGGACTGTGGGCATGCTACCATACCCCAACTAATAGCTTTCATCTTCCTCAAAATAAGTCCTATATAATGTCATATAAGAATTTCTATAATTGGCTGCCTTGATGTTTATTTGACCTTCTCTTGTGGCACTCTCTAGCTCATTAAGCCTTGGCCAAAGCTGGCTTCCTTGCTGTTCCTTGAATGTGCCAGTAGATCTTCTCAATGACTTTGCAGCTGTCATGGTTCTTCATGGTTCCTACCTTTATTTCCTTTAAGCTTCTATAATAAATGTCACTTTATTTTATTAGTGAAGTCTTCTCTAGTCACCAGCAATAAAGTAGCAAGCTTCCCACTGTCCATTCTCTCTTTTTCCTTTGCTCTGATCTGTTTTTCTCTATTGTACTTCTTGACATATTGCATATTTGTTTCTTTACTTGTCGGGCATCTCCTCCTTAACCAGAACGAAGCTGCCTGGGACTCGAAGGTAGGAGCTTGGACTATTTTGTTTATTGCCCTTGCTTCCCTTTCAAGACAGTTTTCCACCCCTGTTCTGTAACAAAAGAGTTAATTCTTTTCTTCCTTTTTTTTTTTTTTGTGCTGGAGATTGAACCCAGGGGTGATTTATCACTGAGCTACATCCCCACTCATCCCCACTCTAATCAGAGCCAGATTTTTTTATTTTTTCTTTCTTTTTCCAGATTTCAACCATTCTTAGTATCTCAACCTGCCATTCTGACCCAAGCCATGAATATGTTCTATTCATGATGGTTGTATTTTGATCCTGCCCCAAGACCATTGGGTTCAGATCAGCCACTGAAATACACAGGAGAAGGAGACAGGATAGAACTTTCTCTAAGCCCTCCTGTTTTAAACTACTTTAATAAATTGTTTTAGATTTAACCTAAGAGCAGTCTAATTTTTATTTTATAATTACTTGATTACATATTTATCATGTCTGGCTTCCTAATTAAAACAGTTTATGAAAAGTCCTTTCTGTTTTTAATTTGTCTCATGAGATTTTATTGGAAAAAACTAATAAAACAATAGAATGCAAGCTGTATTTGCTAAGCTTAACTTTGACTTCATGCTATTGTAGCCATTATCGGAAACGATCAGCATCCCGGGGACGTTCTGGAAGTAGATCTAGAAGTCGCTCACCTTCAGATAAAAGAAGTAAACGTGGAGATGACAGACGATCTAGAAGCAGAGATAGAGATAGAAGGAGAGAGAGGTCTCGGAGCAGAGATAAAAGAAGATCTCGGTCAAGGGACAGAAAGCGTCTAAGGTAAGACATTAATCTCTGGGGCTGGGGATGTGGCTCGCCTGGCATGCGCAGGGTGCTGGTTTCGATCCTCAGCACTACATAAAAATAAAATAAAGATGTTGTGTCCATCGAAAACTAAAAAAGAATAAATATTAAATTCTCTCTCTCAAAAAAAAAGTCATTAATCTCTGAAAGACTGCTCATAAATTGGGCTTTGTTAACTAAATCAGGCTTCTCAAAAAGTGTGTTTGGACTGCAATTTAGAGGCCCATTTGTGGGCCTTCAGCTTTATCCTTGTTCTTTAGATATAGTCAGAAGGATTTGGCTACCGAGATTCTATCTAACAATATTTTAAATTTGGAAACTTAGGTTGTATTTTCTATAATATAAAGAGCCCCTGAAGCCTATTGTAATAGGTAAAAGTGAAGTTAAAAAAAAAAAAAGGTCGGAAGTTCTAATATTATTCTTCCCCAAGCAGCTGACTACTTGGGTTCAGAGCAGCCACTGGAATAGACAGGAGGAGACAGACAGAACTTTCTCAAAGCCCTCCTTTCTGATTTGAACTACTTTATTAAACTATTCTAAGATTTACACTAAAGCAGTCTAATTTTTGTTTTATATTTTCTTGATTATATAATCATTGGATCATTGGCACTAGTTAAGAAGCCATGACCTTTCTGGAGTTGAAAAACGGTTATTAAAAAATAATTTTCTTGGGGCTGGGGTTGTGGCTCAGCAATAGGGTAGGCTCTCCTAGCATGTGCAAGGCCCTGGGTTTGGTCCTCAGCACCACATAAAAATAAATAAAGGTATTGTGTTCAACTACAACTAAAAAATATATATATATATAATTTTCTTGAGTCAGGCAGAGTGGTGCATGCCTGTAATCCCAGCAGCTCATGATGCTGAGGTGGGAGGATTGTGAATTCAAAGCCAGTCTCAGCAAAAGCGAGGTGCTAACCAACTCAGTGAGACCCTATCTCTAAATAAAAATACAAAGAAGGGCTGGGGATGTGGCTCAGCGGTAGAGTACTCGCCTAGCATGTGTGAGGCACTGGGTTTAATCCTCAGCACCACATAAAGATAAATAAATAAAGGTATAAAAAAATTTTTTTTCTTATACATTTTCTCGTGAAAATAGGAAGTGGAAACATGAGGCTCTGGATTCAATCTACAGTACAATGACAAAAAAAAAAAGAAAAAAAAGGCAAGGAAGACAAAGTTGTACTGTGAACAGATTACAGAGCTGTGAACTGGTACTATGAACAGATCACAGAAAGAATTTGACAGTATTTTTCAGACATTGGAAGGAGAGGATGCAATGATATTATCAGGGAAAGTATTAACCTATGACAGTGTGACTAATGCTAATTAATTCAATTTCATATTACATGGTTCCCTGAATAATTTCACATCGTTAATCACTTAAGTGAAATTGATCATTTAACATTTGTTTTTGACTTTTTAGTGTGAAAGCAGAATCACAAGATTTTAGATCAAGAAGCATTGTGTGGGGGGGTACATGGGGGTTGAACTCAGGAGCTCTCAACCACTGAGCCACATCCCCAGCCCTATTTTGTATTTTATTTAGAGACAGGTTCTCACTAGGTTACTCAGCGCCTCACCATTGCTGAGGCTGGCTTTGAACTCTAGATCCTCTTGGCTCAGCCTCCTGGGCTGTTGCACCCAGCTCAGGAACATTTTGAGAGTATCTAGTGAAGTCTTCATATTTTATAGATGAGGAAATTGAGACCCGGAGAGTTGGAGATCTGACCTTTTCATGTCACTGATTACTAGCAGTACCAGTGAAATTGTTGCCTCCAAATCTTCAGATCACTGATCTTTTCAAAGTCTCATTCTGCTCTGCCCATCCTTCGGCTTTTTTTGTGTGTATGTGGTGCTAGGGATCAAACCTGGGTCTTGCACACTATAGGCAAGTGAGCTCTACCATTGAGCCAACATAAAATTAGTACTCTCATTTTTTCATTGAGCACTTGCTGGACTTGGCTTTACTTGTTTCTTTTTTTTTTAGCTGTTTTGATCCTAAAAGCCTTTAATAATTTATGTTTTTTTTGTTGTTTTGTTACTAGGTATTTAACCTGGGGATGCTATTACTACTGAGCTACATCTCCAGCCCCCACATCCCCCTATTTAAAAAAAATTTTGACAGGGTCTTGCTAACTTGTTGAGGCTGGTCTCAAACTTGGTGATCCTCCTGTCTCAGCCTCCTAAGTCCCTGGTTCACAGATGTGATACTGTGCCAAACAATAATGGTGATAATTAAGAAGCTTTTTTCAGCTGGGTGCTCTGGCACACACCCATAATCCTATCAACTTGGGAGGCTGAGGCAGGAGGATTGCACATCTGAGGCCAATCTCGGCAATTTAGTGAGATCGTCTCAAGAAAAGAAAAAGGTCTGGGGATGTAGCTCAGTGGTGGAGAACACCCCCACCCCCTGCATGCATGCACACACATAAGCAGCAGGTCTTTTCAAATGGACAGAATCGTGATCTGAAATAATAGTTCTGTTGGTTACAGAATAAATGAAAAGTGTCTCTTTTTCAGGCGTTCCAGAAGTAGAGAGAGAGACAGAAGCCGAGAGCGAAGAAGATCTCGCAGCCGAGACAGGAGACGCTCAAGGAGTAGAAGCCGGGGCCGGCGATCCCGATCTTCCAGTCCTGGCAATAAAAGCAAGAAAGCTGAGAATAGGTAAACATCATGCAAGTTGGAAAACTAGCTCTCTTCCCTGTGCCTTTTTTTTTTCCTTCTCTTCCTTTTAAATTTATTCTTATAAACAATTATTGAATTTGGCTCCTGCTATGAACTATTGACAGAATTTTAACTGAGTATAAGTTCATGATTTTGTTGGAAAATACTAGATTCTATCAGGTTGTTTTTTTGGTGGTGCATGCTAGGCAAGCACTCTACCAACTGAGCCCCTCTATCAGTTTTAATAATTAATGCAGTTTACCCTTATTTAATACATACTATTCATGATCAGAAATATGTTTTATAGACCTCTTTCTGGATATTATGTAACTTCCTTTGAAATTATTTTCTTAGGTAACGTTTCTGACATTGTTGACAAATAAACTTTGAATTTTTGGTATGCATTGCTGAATTGCTATTTAGGAAGGGTAAGCTTTGCTTGATTTTTTTTTTTTTTTTTTTTTTGTATCAGGGATTGAACTCGGGGGCACTCGAACATTGAGCCACATCCCCAGCCCTATTTTGTATTTTATTTAGAAACAAGGTCTCACTGAGTTGCTTAGTGCCTCACTAAGCAACTGTTACTGATGCTGGCTTTGAACTCGTGATCCTCTTGTCTTAGCCTCCCGAGCTGCTGGGATTACAGGCATGTGCTACAGTGCCCAGCTAAGCTTTGCTTGTATAAATTAAATATATGTGTTTCCTGGAGATGCCAATAGCATTCATTTTTTTTTTTAAACATTCAGTTTTGGGATGTAACTTGTTTGTTAGACATAATATGTTTACTATATTTCTTTATTCAGTGGTTTGTACTTTACCTATTATTTCTTCACTGAGTCATAGGATAGTTAATATGTAGGCCTAAGTTTGTTTTCTGTATATTCTTCACGTAATTATTGGTATTTTTCCCCATGTTGCTTATTTTACTTAATAAAATTTATTTCACTGTCAGTGTGATACTTTTGGGATTTTAAAAAAATTAAGAGTAGTATGTTCAGAAAAGCGAATGAAATATTAACATACAAATTATTAAATAATTTTAAAGCAAACACATAATAGATCCTCCAACAAGAATAAGAGATAAACCATTGTAGTTAGGTGTGGTGGTGTATGCCTTTAATCCCAACGATGTGGGAGGTTGAGGCAGGAGGATTACAAGTTCAAGACCGGGTTAGCAATTAATTAGCAAGGCCCTAAGCAATTCAGTGAGACCCTGTCTCAAATTTTAAAAAATATAAAGGGCTGGGGATGTAGCTCAGTGGTATAGTACCCCTGAGTTAAATCCCAAGTATCAAAAAGAAAGAAGGAAGGAAAGAAATATTGTCAGTATCCCAGCAGTCTTTTATTTCCCTTTTTAATTCAGCTATCTACCTTCCTAGATAAAATTACTATTGATTTTTATGCTAGTAATTTCCTTACATTCCTGTGTGGTTTTTCCCATCTGTGTCTTCTGGAAAAATAGTTTAGATACCTGATTCTTAACTTTACATGATTTCCATGAATAGGGTCCCATATTTTTTTTGATATTTATTTTTTTGTAGTTGTACACAATAGCTTTTATTTATTTTTATGTGGTGCTGAGGATCGAACCCAGAGCCTTGCACATGCGAGGTGAGCGCTCTACTGCTGAGCCATAACCCCAGCCCCAGGATCCCGTATTTTATGTGTGTGTTTTTTTTTTTTTGGCTTAATATTTTTTTTTTTTTTAATAAATATTTATTTATTTATTTTTAGTTTTCAGCGGACACAACATCTTTGTATGTGGTGCTGAGGATCGAACCCGGGCCGCACGCATGCCAGGCGAGCACACTACCGCTTGAGCCACATCCCCAGCCCCTGGCTTAATATTTTTGAGATTCATTTTTGTTGTTTCTAGCAGTAGTTCATTTTCATTACTGAATAGTATTCTGAGGTGTTAATATACTTCATTTTGTCCATTCTAGTGAGATGGATGTGAGCGTTTTTATATATATGTCCTAGAGAACATGTGCAGCAGTTTACTTAGGTTGTATATCTAGAATTGAAATTGCTTGGTCATAGGTATAACTTTGTTTTTACTTCTTAAATTTTTTTTTTTAATTTATTTTTTGGTGGTGAATGGCCTTGTTCATGCAAGACAAGCACTCTACCAACTGAACTACATCCCCAGCCCTAGCATTGTTTTTAGTAGATAATGTTTTCCCAAGAGTTTGTACTAATTATATTCCTACCATCAAGGTATGAGAATTCTGTTGCTCCATACCCTTTTAAAATTGTTAGTCCTTTAAATTTTTTCCACTTTGTTATATGTGTAATAACAATATCACTGTGGGTTTTGTTGTTTTTTGTTTTTGTTTTTTAAGATACATTCTCACAATATTGCCCAGACTGATCTTGAATTTTGGGCTCAAGTGATCCTCTTGTCCCAGCCTTCTAGGTGCTGGGACTGTAGGCGTGTTATGCCATGCCTGGCATTTTCATGTGTCTCCCTGAGATTGGAGACTTTTCATATTTTTATTGGCCATTTGGATTTTCTCTTTCCTGAAGTATATCTCATTTTAAAATTCATTTATGGAGGCTGAGGATGTAGCTCAGAGGTAGAGTGTTTGCCTAGCATGTGTGAAGCCGTGGATTCAATCCCCAGCACTTCAAAAAAGTAAGTAAATAAAAATATAAATTGATTCATAGGAGTTTTTTGTTCTTTATTTTTTGTAAGGGCTAGGTTGACTATGTCTTATCCAAAATGTTTGAAACCAGAGTGTTTACAGTTTGGATTTTTTTGTATTTTGGGCTATTTGGGTTTTTTTATTTTTTATTTTTATTTTTTAGTTTTTGATAGTCCTTTATTTATTTTATGTGGTGCTGAGAATCGAACCCAGTGCCTCACACATGCCAGGCAAGTGGGCTACCGCTGAGCCACAACCTCAACCCAATTTTGGGCTATTTGTATATTCATGATGAGATGTCCTGGGGATGAGACCCAAGACTAATCAGAAAACTTATTTATGTTTCATATATATTTTATTCACATAGCCCAAAGGTAATTTTATACATTATTTTTAGTTCACCTGCATTAAAAAAAATTTTTTTTATAGTTGTAGATGGATGGCGTGCCTTTATTTGTTTTTATGTGGTGTTAAGGATTGAACCCAGTGCCTCATACATGCTAGGCAAGTGTTCTGCCACTGAGCTACAGCCCCAGCCTAGTGCATCTGCATTTTGAGTGCAAGTTGTCATATGAAATCAGGTGTTGAATTTTCCTCTTGTGGTGTTATGGGTGCTCAAAAATTTAGGATATTGGAACGTTTCAGATTTTGGATTTCAGATTAGGGTGGTTCAATTTTTACTTTAGATGATTAGAGATCTTATGCATTGAGAATAACGGATATAAACCTGACAAGGTCAATATGAGAAAAGAAAATTGTAGGCTACATTCGATGTAAACATGAAGATTAACGTTAAATCCAACAGTCTATGTAAAAGGTAGCATAAATAAATTGAGTTTTTTTAAAAATGGGAACATGGTTTAGCCTTACAAAATTGTAAATGTAATTTATAATTGTAATGTTTACATTGTAATGTTCTATGTTAATATGATTTAAGGAGAAAAGTCATGTGCTTGTTAAATAGATTCAGGAAAAATATTAAACTTAACATATATTCATATTTTAAAGTTTCTTAGCAGAAGTGAGTTGAAAGAGCATTTTATAAGCTCATCATAAAATTAGAAATATAAAGGAATGTAAATATTCTTGAAGAACGATGTTGGAGGACTTTTTCTGCCAAGTGTCTGAAGGTTGTCAAAAAGTTATTAAAATCAGGTCAGTGTGGTATTAATGTAGGGCTGGTCAGATAGACCAGTGGAACCATATAAAGAGCCCAGAAACAGATCCTGGTAATCAGTGAGGACAAGTTATTAAAATTTGGTGTTAATGTCATTTGCTATTTTATAATGAAATAAAACTACTTGCCTACTGTGTGCATACAAAGCAATTCCAGATAGATTAAAGACCAAAACAGGTGGCAACATTAAACCTTTTACAAGTTTATGCTGAAGAATATCTTTTTTATCTCTGAATATCTTTATCAAGTCTGGAAGTATTTGTAATCTCAGAGACTAACACCACATATAAAGGTGGGGGAAGAATGATTAATTTGATTACATTAAAATTAAAACATTTTTAGTCATTATAAGAAACCTTAAGTCAAATACAAGCCAGTTGTGGTTTTAAATCTTATTATGTACATAAATTACCTTACAGAACATTAAGATCTTAGTATATTTCTCTATTTAAGTTTTTATTTTCCTATTTAAATTTTGGTATTGTTTTTAATATGGTACATTCAGATTTTCTTGATTAGATTTCTAAATAGTATTGTTTGCCATTAGTGTCAGGGATTAATTTTTTACATTATATTTTCAGGATGTTTTTTAATGTAATATGAGAATGCAGTTGATTCCTAGAAGTTTATTTCTTAACTAACTAAAAAAGTGAAATACTGGTCTGTGGAGGCATTTTAAAATGAATGTTTCCAAGGACAAATAGTTGATATCTCTTTCTCTGTTTCTCTTTTTTGGTAGGTCTAGGTCCAAAGAGAAAACAGAAAGTGGGGAAAGTTCTAAAGAGAAGAAAAAAGACAAAGATGATAAGGAAGATGAAAAAGAAAAAGATGCTGGCGTATGTTTACTAACTTATAAATAATCCTTATGGTATCAGTCTTGCTTCTATAACAAATTATTTATTTATAGAGCTGATTTTTTTTTTTTTCCTCCCAGTACTGGGGATGGAACCCAGGATCACTCCACCACTGAGATATACATCCTCATCCCTTTTTATTTTGTTTTGAGACAGGTTTTTGCTAAGTTGCTTAGGGCCTCACTAAATTGCTAAGGCTGGCCTTGAACTTGCAATCCTCCTGCCTAAGCCTCCTGAGTTGCTGGGATTATAGGCAAGCACTGCCATGCCTGGCATTTTTTCTCCCTCCTTTGGTGGTGGTGGTAGGGATTGAACGAACACAAAGCCTCACACATACATCTAAGACATGTGCTTTCTGAGCTACATTGTCAGCCCTGTGCTTAATTTTAAAATACATAATGGCATAAGATAAAAGGAAGATAAAGTAATAGTTGTCTCCATGAGAAATTTTTTCTCGAAAAAGTTGCATTTTATTCACGTCATCTGTTTTTATTTACGAAATGTGATTAGACCATGTAAATGTTGTCAAATTGACTTCCAAAATAGTTGTATGTTTTCACATATGTATTTTTTAATTTTTGGTACTGGGGATTGAACCCAGAAACACTTTACCATAGAGCTATATCCCCAGTGCTTTTTATTTTTTATTTTAAGATAAGATCTCACTAAGTTGCTAAGTCTGGCCTCAAACTTGCAATACTCCTACCTCAGCCTCCCAAATTGCTAGGATTATAGGCATGGGCCATTATGCCTGACTTATGAATCTGTTTTTTAAGATGTATGATCTAGTAAATCTGGTCTACATTTAGCAGTTTATATTTGTGCCTATATTGTTTTCCTTTTTTATAATTTGGAGAACTTATATGGAATGTCACTTGGAGTAAAACTGCTAATATTGGTTTTGCTTTTTATTTTCCTTTTCTCTTCCCCTTCCCAAGAACTTTGACCAGAATAAACTGGAGGAAGAAATGAGAAAGCGAAAGGAAAGAGTTGAAAAATGGCGAGAAGAGCAGCGTAAAAAGGCCATGGAAAACATAGGGGAACTGAAAAAAGAAATTGAAGAGATGAAACAAGGGAAAAAATGGAGTTTAGAAGATGATGATGGTATATTTATTTGTTATATTCCAGAATTATTAGTAAATTTCATATAAGGATGGGGGCTTTTTTTTTTTTTTTGAAAGTGGAAAATATACATGATATATAAAAGTAGACAATTCAGTGGTAAGAAGTACACTCATAGTGTTGGAGAGCCATTGTCATTGTTCATTTCCTGAATTTTTTCATCATTCTAAACAGCAACTCTATACTTATTAATAACTCACCATCCTGTCTCTCTCAGCCTGTTTTAAGTAAGAGAGAGAGAGAGAGAGAATTTTTTAATATTTATTTTTTAGTTTTTCGGCGGACGCAACATCTTTGTTTGCATGTGGTGCTGAGGATCGAACCTGGGCCGCACGCATGCCAGGCGAGCACGCTACCGCTTGAGCCACATCCCCAGCCCCAGTAACTTTTATTCTACTTTCAGTCTCTATGAACTTGCTCATTTTAGGGATCTCATAAAAGTGGAATCGTTCAATATTTGTTCTTTTGTGTCTGGCTTATTTCAGTGTGCACAATGTTATCAAGATTCATCTATATTATAGCATATGTGAGAATTTCTTTAAATGGCTGAATAATATTTCATTGTATTTATATGTCACATTGTATTTATTCATTCGTTATTATTTTGCACCTTTAGGTTGTTTATGCATTTTGGCTAGTGTGAATAATGCTGCTATGAGCATTGGTATGAAAATATATTTATTTAGGTACTTATTTTTTTCTTTCTTCCTTTCTTTTTTTGTATGAAATTTGAACCTAGGAGCAGTCTACTCCTGAAGTACATCTTTAGCCATTTTTAAATTTTTTTTTATTTTGAGATGGGATCTTGCTAAGTTGCCAATGCTAGCCTTTAACTTTTGGTTCTCCTGCCTCAGCTTCCCAAGTTGTTGGGATGACAGGCATGTACCACCACAGCTGGAAGCTCTTTAATTGCTGGTATAAATGTTATGAGAGTAAATGAAGGACATGCTTTCAAGTCCCTTCTCTAATTTTTCATAATTTATAGAGAACCTCTCCGCTTTATTATTATTATTATTATTATTATTGTGTGTATGGTACTAGGCATCAAACCCAGGGCCTCACCTTTGCTAGACTAACTCTATCCCAACCTACCTCTCCATTTCTGTTTTAATTTTGAGACTTTAGTGAAGTGAAAGATTGTGGACTTGGAGGAAAATGGAATTTTGGCCCATTTTCTGAAAGTTCCAAAGTGGTTTGAATACATGCATGGATTATGTCTATAAAAGATCATGATGTCTTCATTACATAAAATTATTTTTAGTTATGAGTAATGTGCCATTTTTTCTTTCTGTGATTGGGGTACTTGAAAGAAAAGAAATGATTATAAATGTCATTTAGCAGAGAAAGTTTTTAATTCTGCTTCTAGTAATATTACTATAAATCTAAAATGGATTTTTTTTTTTTTTTTTTTTTTTTTTTTTTTGCTGTACTATAACTAAACCTAGTGCCTTATACATGCTAGACTAGTGCTGTACTACTGAGCTGTATCCTCAGCCGTGGAGATCCATTTTCTAAGCATAATTAAATGACTTATTGGCATTTATTTTTTCATCATTGTTATTTAAAAGTAATACATGGTTGGGCTTGATGGTGCAGGCCTGTAATCCCACAGTGGGAGACTGTGTCAGAAGGACTGCAAGTTCAAGGGCAGCCTGGGCAAATTAGTGACACTCTGTCTCAAAATATAAAGGGCTAAAGATAGTAGTAGAACACTTGCCCTAGGCTTAATCCTCAGTAACACATACACCCACCTAATCCCACTCCACCCTCTGCAAAAAAAAAAAAAGTAATGTGTGATTTAAAAGTATAAAAACTTCTAAGTGTAAGTATTGAACTGTAGTGTGGCTGGAGTAATTGGAAAGGGGTGGGTGTTAGCAGTGGGAGAAAAGGTTAGAAAGGTAAGGTGTGGTCTGTGTAGGGTATTTTAAAACACAATGTACAAAGAAATACATTCTGATATTTTAGATGATGAGGATGATCCTGCAGAAGCTGAAAAGGAAGGAAATGAAATGGAGGGTGAGGAATTAGATCCATTAGATGCGTACATGGAAGAAGTGAAAGAAGAAGTGAAAAAGTTTAATATGAGAAGTGTAAAAGGTGGAGGGGGAAATGAAAAGGTATGGAGTTTTTTCCTTCTTTTTAAAGATTTATATTCCCACTTGGATAATTCATCCTACTCTTGATTTGCATTTTAACTGAGTTAATGTTTTCGTTTTTCTTCATCTCAGAGATAACAATACTTTTCCCAAGTACCAGAGAAACCGATGAATTTAAAAAATTTTTAAAATGATGAATTTTAGCTGTAAATGTACTTTCAAAAGCTGTTCTTTTACCACCATCTTTATTTAGTATCTTTGTTTATATATTACTATCTCAAGTCCTTTATAGCATTTATTACCTTTTCATATATTATAATTTTTATTGTGCTTTCTATTTTTTCCACCTGCCTTCAAAATAAACTCCAAAGAGTGGTGACCTTGACCTGTCTATTGATTCATCCAAACTCCCAGAACAGTGCCTGGCTTGTCTAATGAGTAAAAAATATCATTTGCTAGTATATTTAAAATATATCATCATATCATCTAACATCATGGAAAAAACCATGTATATATAAATGTTTTTTTTAGTTTTTTTTATATTTCACAATGTAATATAATTATCCCAGCAGCTTGGCAGCCTGAGGCAGGAGGATTGCAAATTTGAGACCAGTGTCAATCTGTAATCCTAGTTACTGGGGATACTGATTGAGAAGGATTGCAAATGTAAGGGCAGCCTGGGCGACTTACTGATACCCTGTCTCAGAATAAAAAGTGAAAAGGGATGAAAGTGTAACTCGGTGATAGAGTGCCCCTGAGTTCCATCCCTAGTACTGGCAGGGAGGGGTGGGGGAATGTGTGTGTGTGTGTGTGTGTGTGTGTGTATGTACATATAAAACATAATTGTATTACATTTAAAATTTTATACAAATTAAAGTGAAAAAGCACACTACTGTTTGTCATTTCATTAAGTTGTGAATAAATTAATTTGATTATAAATTATGAAACCATTGTTCTTAGTGTATAACTTGTTTTTCCCTTTTGCAAAACAATTTATATTCCTTTTTTATTTTAGAAGTCTGGGCCAACAGTCACAAAAGTTGTCACTGTCGTGACAACCAAAAAGGCAGTTGTAGATTCTGATAAGAAGAAAGGTGAGCTGATGGAGAATGACCAGGATGCCATGGAGGTGATTTTTTTTTTAATTGATTTTGACTTTATTCATGATAGTATCCTACAAGCATTTATTGCATAACATTGATTGAGACATATTATTCAGCTATGCAGACTATTATGAGGAACCCTTGCTATTCTTAGTAGTGTAGTAGAATTTATCTAAATATGGTAGAACATTCCGAAGTCTTTCATTCCTTGCTGTGTGCATTTTTTCATCCCCCTCATCAGCTCACCTCAAGTTTACAATATGGAGAGAAGAAATGAAGTGACAGAATGAATTAAATTTCTTTGCATTAGCATAGTGAAAACAATAGCAAAACTTCATTAAGCCATTACTGAGAATTACTTTAATTTTGTATTGCAGTATAACTTTCTATAAGGGCAAAGAAAAAATAAATTTTGTTATAAAACTTTGCAGGAGGTGTTATAAAAATTCTAATTGACAGGAATAGTTTGAAGTGATTTTTGAAATTAGGTGTTAAGTTCTGGTGTAGCATAAAAATCTCATGGGTTAAGCAGTCTGTTTAGAATAAAAGCAAAAAGAGCCCTAGAGTAGTTTCTAGGAGAGGAGACTTTTAAAATCTAGAACTGTTGCTTCGTATAAGGGGACAATAATGAATTTTTTTACTTTTTTTTTTTTGTAAACTAAAGTATTCTTCAGAGGAGGAAGAAGTTGATCTTCAGACAGCTCTTACAGGCTATCAGACCAAACAGAGAAAACTTTTGGAACCAGTTGATCATGGAAAAATTGAATATGAGCCATTCAGAAAAAACTTTTACGTTGAAGTCCCAGAACTAGCAAAAATGTCTCAAGAGGGTAAAGTTCTTTTATTTGTTTATTGGTTATAGTGGGCTCAAAGGAGGATATACTTCACTCTGCCCAGGAGTAATGTGGACAAACCTGTGAGGTAGAGGGTTTTAGGGAAATATTTTTTAAATGAGCAAAATTAATTCAGCTTCTTGTTTTTAGTGTTTTAAAGTGAGATTGCCAATAAAATATGTCTGTTAGGCTCGATGTGGTGGCGCATGCCTATAATCCCAGCAGCTCGGGAGGCTGAGACAGGAGGTTTCGAGTTCAAAGCCAGCCTCAGAAAGGGTTAGGCACTAAGCAACTCAGTGAGATCCTGTTTCTAAATAAAATACAAAAATGGGCTGGGAATGTGGCTCAGTGATTGAGTGCCCCTGAGTTCAATCCCTGGTACAAAAAAAAAAAAAAATTTATTAGTCCTTCTAGTATTTAAGAGTTAGGAGATACATAGTGGATATGGATATTATTGGTTGAATAAAGGTAATTGGACAAGTCATGGTAGAATAAGTGGCTCTATTACTTGTCTGTTATTCCTTTTATTTTATTATTATTGTAGTTTTAAGAAAAAAACGAAAGATTGTCGAAATGAGGGTATTTCTGGTCATCCTTAGTTGATTGCAACAGTAGCTACTTTAAGTGACTTTCAATGCTTCCTCCGATAACTCTTCCATAATATTGTTTGTTAAATTGAAAAAAAAAATGAGCTGATATTCTTAGTCCTACCATGCCTAATTAAAATAGAAAGCATCAGGAATTTTTGATCTGGGCTTTGTTTTGCAGAGGTGAATGTATTTCGATTGGAAATGGAGGGTATCACAGTCAAAGGAAAAGGTTGCCCCAAACCAATTAAGTCTTGGGTCCAGTGTGGAATTTCCATGAAGATCTTAAATTCTCTCAAAAAGTAAGTGGTTATCTACATTTTTCAGTATCTTACTACTCAAAATTGCCCTTTCAAACAAATATTTCTGTTGGTTACATTTTTCATCATCTCAAAAAGAAAGCCATATATTCCCATCACCTCCACATTCATTAATGTACTTTTGTCTATATATGTTTAGTTATACTGGACATTTTATATGAACACTATCACTTAACTTGTAGTCTTTCTGATTATTTTCACTTAGTATAATCACAGTGTTTTTAAGATTTGTTCATATTGTAGAATCTCTGAATACCATATTCCTTTTTATTTCCAAATAATACTTTCTTGTATGAACATGCCACATTTTGGAAGAACTTATTTTTATGGGATTCTGGGGAATCAGAAGATCTCAGTTCTTACCTTCTCTTTCTATTCTTTGTTTTTAAGGCATGGGTATGAAAAGCCCACACCAATCCAAACGCAAGCAATTCCTGCTATAATGTCTGGACGAGATTTGATTGGCATTGCCAAAACAGGAAGTGGAAAGACCATTGCTTTTCTGTTGCCCATGTTTAGACACATTATGGATCAGAGGTCATTAGAAGAAGGAGAAGGGCCAATAGGTATAGTTCTTCTCATTAAATTAATTTTTGACATATCCTTGTTGTCAATTAATCAGAAAGACCTGATATCCTATATTGTTCTTAATTATAACAATAAAGATGCCTTTATGTACAATTCCTTTATCATTTTGGCACTTTGGGGCTGATTTCCCCTTACCAGCAGGTGGAGTGAGAATCTTCAGAGTTCTGGAGTGACATCTCAGAAGTACAAAAACAGCCTCTCCTGGCACAGCTCAGTTTTTAAACTCTGACTCGGCAGGTAGACCCCTCATGCATATATCTGTTTAATTTATGTTGAGGTTTGTTCCTAGCCCAGTATCATTGGATATATAAACTCAACAAGGAAGATAATATGGAAATGTATTTTCCTTTTTTTTTTTTTTTTTTTTTTTATGGCTTTATAGTCTGTAGTATCGGCATTTCATTCAGGGTTAGGTCTTCAGATTCAGATGTTGATTCATTTTGGCAGAGATATCTTCTGCAAATTTTAGTAGGGTTTTGGAAAATTGTTCGGCTCCTTTCTTGGAAATACAGGGTACTGTTTATTTCTTCTCTGTCTGAGCCAATCAGACCAAGGTTGTTTCCTGAAGCAGCGGTATGGCTTCTGCAACACAGTGAGTCACTTGATTTTCTTTGTTCTGTGATTTGCAGTTGAAAACTGTTTTCATTCTGTTCAACCAAGTATTTTCCTGAAGGTTGAGTGTGATATTTTTAACTCTCATTTATTTTCCTATAGCATGTTCTTAAAAATCTGCCTACCCTTCACCACAATCTCTGCCGTTACAAAGCTTTTGAAATAGAATTTTCAGAGTTGCGTAATTTTTTTTTTTTTTAATTAAGAGAGATGACTTTTATTTCAGGGGTTAAACTTAACATTTTAAAATCTAGCTTCTTAAGAATCTTGGTGCTTAGGCTTTTGACATATTTATCTTTTCAGCTGTCATCATGACTCCAACTCGAGAACTGGCTTTACAAATTACTAAAGAATGTAAGAAGTTTTCGAAGACTTTGGGACTTAGAGTGGTCTGTGTTTATGGAGGAACAGGAATCAGTGAGCAGGTACTTACAACAGGAACATTCAGCTTTTCCATCATTTCTCAAATTGAATGGTTCAGTAAAGAAAAAGTGATTTTTACTTTAGTGTTTTGAATAGTGACTCTTCTATCATAAAGAGGATTAGGTGTGAAATAGTTGTAAGAATGAATTATGTGGGCTGGGGTTGTGGCTCAGTGATAGAGTGCTCACCTAGCATGCTTGAGACACTGAGTTTGATCTTCACCACATATATATAAAATAAAGATATTGTGTTCAATTAAAACTAAACAATGAATTAAAAAAAAGAATGAGTTATGTTATCCAGAATGAATATGTTCTGAAAGTGTAATACAATATGGTGACTATAGTTAATCTTGTATTATGTACTTAAAATTACAGAGTACAGAGTAGTTTCTTTCTTTCTTTTCTTTTTTTTGGTACTAAGGATTGAACCCAGGGGCATTTAACCATTGAGTCCCAGCTCCAGCCCCTTTTGTTTTTTTATTTTCAGACAGGGTATTGCTAAGTTGCTTTGGGCCTTGCTAAATTGCTGAGGCTGACCTTGAACTTCCAATCCTCCTGCCTCAGTCTCCCAGATTGCTGGGATTATAGGTGTGCATCACCATGCCCTCTCCCCAGACCTTTAATACATAATTCTATGTGTATTTCTACTGGGAACTGAATCTAGGGGTCCTTTACCATCAAGCTATATCTCTAGTCCTTTTTATATTTATTCATTTGCTTTACTTATTTATGTACTTACTTACCCTGGGGATTAAACGCAGGAGTACTTTACCATTGGGCTAATCCCTAACTCTTTATTGTTTATTTTGAGATAGGGTCTTACTAAGTTGACAAGATTGGATTCAAACTTGTGATCTTCCTGCCTCCCCCACACATTGCTGAGATTACTGGCAAGGTCCACCCAGCTCTAATACATAATATTTTTTGTTGATTATACCTCAGTAAACCTAGGAGAGTCACATGCAGTGGCACAAACCTGTAATCTCAACTACTTGGGAGGCTGAGGCAGGAGGATTCCAGTTCAGCTATTTAGTGAGACCCTGTCTCAAAATAAAAATAATATACTAGAGTGCCCCTGGATTTAATCCCTGGTACTGCATGTGACTGCAAGCTGACACACACCTCACACAAGCCAGGGTAGTAGGAGAATGATTATGTTAATGCTCTATTTTTAAAATTTGAGGGCTGGGGTTGTGGCTCAGCGGTAGAGCACTCACCTAGTGCATGTGGGGCCCTGGGTTCGATCCTCAGCACCACATATAAATAAATTAAATAAAGGTATTGTGTCCAACTACAGCTAAAAAATAAATATTTTTTTTTTAAAAAGAAAAATAAAAAAGTATAAAATTTGGAGTAGTTTTATGTTAACATGATCTTCCTCTTCTCCTGCCTAAGGAAGTCAGAATATTTTCCATCTTTGTTTTTGGATAAACTCAGGGGCACTCGACCATTGAGGCCACGTCCCAGCCCTATTTTGTATTTTATCTAGAGACAGGGTCTCACTGAGTTGTTTAGAGCCTTGCTTTTGTTGAGGCTGGCTTTGAACTCTCTATCTTCCTGCCTCAGCCTCCTGAGCTATTGGGATTATAGGCATGCACCAAAGTATTGAGAGCATTTAATAAGTTGACCAGTTAGATTAATAAGAACTGGATTAATAAGAACTGGAATTTGCCTTAGGACCTAGGTCTTCTGATTCCCAGATTGGCATTTATTGTCTTTAATGCTTGTTGACATCTTGAAAAATGGTGATGAATGGTATGCCATAATATCACAGTTTCATCTGCATTCTTAAATGATTTTAGAAAGAATTATTTAAACCATTTTGACTCTCTTTGGCTTGGCATTTATCTAAGTGTCTTCTAAAGAATGATAGCGATAGATTTTTATTTATTTGTTTATTTATTTATTTATTTGTAGTTGTAGGTGGACAGTATGTCTTTGTTTTATTTTTTTGTGATTCTGAGGATTAAACCCAGTGCCTCACACATGCGTGGCAAGTGCTCTGCCACTGAGCTACAGCCCAACCCCAGATATTTTGTTTAATTAGAAGAAAAAATAATGGGTTCTATGATCAAATAAGTCCTGGAAGTGTTCGGTTATACAAAGTTAAAACAGGTTTTTTTTTTCTTCAAGACTTCATAGATTGATGAACTAATATATATTGAGATACCAGGATAATAAGATATAATTTAAGTGGCATTCTCTGAACTTACTGAAAGTAAAATTCTTTCTTAATATTAAAACCAGGGAGTATTTGATTTCTTTATCCTAATGCTATTTTAAATACTTGAGCTTGGCTTCTTTTTTAAAAAAAAATATTTTTTGGGTTATAGATGAATGTCTTTATTTTATTTGTTTATATTTAATGTGGTGTTAAGGATCAAACCCAGTGCCTCACATGTACTAGGCAAATGCTCTGCCACTGAGCTATAGCCCCAGCCCACACTTGGTTTATTTACTGAGTTCATCTTTGTAAATTTTTTGGATCACATTTTGTAGTAAGAAATGCATTTAGAAAACAAATTTTAAAAATAGAAATACATTTCTAAAATAAACTGGTACATGCGTGCATATTACATTTATATAAATCAAACAAAAGTTTTGTCATGTGCTGAGTATGGTGGTCCTTGCCTGTAATCCCAGTGACTGGGAAGCTGAGATAGGAGTATCACAGGTTTGAGGCCAGCCTCAACAATTTAGCAAGACCCTGACTTAAAGTAAAAATTTTAAAAAAGGGGGTAGAAGTATAATTCAGTGGTAAAATTCCCTGAGCTCAATTCCCAGTACCCACTACCCCCAAATTGTGATGTCTAGGGCACTGGTATTTTTCATTCTATTTAATTACTTAAATGACTGGTTGTAACTTATGAAATTAATTTAATTGGTGGTAACCCTAAATTAGAAACATTGATATGTTTCTGTGTGTTTTACACACCTCTCTTCATCTTCCTTTCATAAAGGTTTTGAGACAATGGTAAATTAAAATTGGTAAAATTCTTTAGTTTCATTGGTTTCAAATTTATGGCAGCATGTGGTCATGCTACTCTTAAATATTCCATTAGTAGTGCTCCTGCATTCCAAAGAATTTAGTCGGAAATTTTAGAGTGTTTTAGTCGGATCTTGTTTTGCTTGGTAGAACCATGCAAGGATCGATACTAGATTTTTTAATCTGTTTAAGCATTAGTGATGATCACCTAAAAAATTTCATCTTTTTAATTAGATTGCTGAGCTGAAAAGAGGTGCTGAAATTATTGTTTGCACACCTGGTCGAATGATTGACATGTTAGCAGCTAACAGTGGTAAGTCAGAGGTATTTTTTTCTTGTTCTGTTTTAGTTATGGATTTTATATATATATTTTTTTTTAGCAAATACAAGAAACCAATAAAGGGTTTCTATGTTTCCTCTTAAAGCTGTAATATCTTAAAATTTGTATTGTAACAAGTTTATTATCATAAGTATTAGTAGTTTTTTTGTGATTCAATTTAAAATTTCTTTTCAGAACCAACTATATCTGATCTCTTAGCATTTAGATTTTGAATCCATTTTTCACCTCGCTTTACTTTTAAAAGGATACATATATTATCTTATTTGTTATTATAAAATTTAGGCTTTTTTCTTTGCAGTATCTTACAATACTAGATAAATTAAGATATTGCAGCTTCAAGAAATTTTACCTTTTGTAAATATTGCATGTTTTTAGCTCATATTGCTTTGTTAAATTATTCCCTATCAAAACTGTTACTAAACTGTTGACATTATTTAACTTCTGTGGAGAAAGGCCCTTCAAGATTTATAGAACTGGGCTTCCGAGACTTAAACCATCAAAGGTAGGTAATTTAATGCTGTTCCCAACCTTGCAAAACTAATTGGGGCTGCAAATGTTAGTGTGGAATACTTAGATATTAGGAAGCACTTATTTTGGCTCATTTTTATTTTTTGATGAAAATGCTTTCAAAGATTTCCATTGCAGTATTCAGTATATACATACAAGGGTAATAAAAACCGAGTAATGCATGTTTCTAATAGCATTCTGCTTGAATTTCTGTATGAACTTAATTCTAATTCTACATGAAGTTGGCAAAGTGACATTGAAATGGTTTGATAAGTCATTGTGCTTGTATAGCCTACGAAAAGTTTTGGGATGACTGCTGATTAAATAATCCCTTGTTTTTTCTCAATGCTGCATTGATTAAATCTCCTGAAATTCATCTTGATTAATTTACCTTTTTCCTTTATCTGTCCTTATTGGTTTATCTTTAATAACTATTTTATATGTGTTTTGCCAGGTGATTGATTCAACAGTTGATAGCAGTGCTTTTATTAATTCTTTGGAAAAGGATTCCTGTGTATTTAGCTTTCACTGGTTAAGAAGCCAGGAACATTTATTTAAATCAGTAGGAACTCATTTAAGTAAAATTGCAGTTGTAGCTTTTTATAGAAAAATAGAAAAATGTATTTATATAATGCATTTTGTATTTAAAGATTTTGTGTAATATGTTAGTTACCTAATGATGTTGAATAGTTTCTCATTAATGGTTTGACCTGCCCATTTAAGGAGCTTCTAAATATAGGGAAAATAGATGATAAAATAAGATAAAGAGAAATTTTCTACATCTGAAGTGTAGTTAGCACTGGAACTTGCTTTCCACACATACGCTGTAATCTCTAATATGTTTTTTTCTAGGTGATGCTGTCAAATAATGGCTGATGTGGCTCGATGCTTCATCTCAGTCTTAGTTTTATGATGTGTTTTGGAGAGGGCTGTTTTCTGAATTTTACAGGTTCTTCAGGCCCTATGATGGTATGCAAGAGACGAGTTTGACAAAATAAAGGGCCTCATATACCCATTGTCAGAAAGTATTTGTCACTAGATTAAGACATTGTAGACCAAAATTTCTTTTCACTGTTTAAAGATACCTAACCTACCCCTGTGGTTAAGTCAGGCATTTTAGTTCCCTTTACAGTTTTTTAAGTTCTTGGTAGTCATAAAATGACTTGGTGACTGATTTTTAGTTTTTCTTTTTGTTTTTATTTTTCTTCTCATCTTAGGTCGGGTCACAAATCTTCGAAGAGTGACATACGTTGTTTTGGATGAAGCAGATAGAATGTTTGACATGGGTTTTGAACCACAGGTAATTGCTGAGTTTCTTAAATGTTTTGAAATGTAAATATGACTGTGTAACTGCCATAAGAATGAAATGTTCATGTGGTTTCTGAAATTCAAACACATTTTTTTGCCTAGAAATATAGTATGTTAGGGACACATGGAATTAAAATAGATATTTATGTTTCAGATTCCTTATAAAACTTGTTTAGGAGGTATTTATGCAAGCAACTCCTTAGAAGTCTAAAACCATCATAAATCAAACTAGAATTAGAAAATGGAACTGGAGACTGTCATGCTAAATGAAATAAGCCATTCCCCAAAATCCAAAGTTCAAATGTTCTCTCTATATGTGGATGATAACACACCATAAGGGGCAGGGGAGAAGAATAGAGGTTCATTGGATTAGACAAAGGGTAATGAAGGGAAGGGAACGGAACGGAACAGTGATAGGAAGAGGAAAGACAATAGAAAGAATTGGACATGACTTTCCTGTGTTCATGTGTGAATACACCACTAGTATAACATCTCATTCAACCACAAGAATGTGGTTTAATTAGAGTAAGTTATACTGTATAATATGTAAAACTTTCTATAGTCACGTATAACTAAAAAGAAAAAATAAACAGAATTAGAGTACTAACCTTAAACTTTCATATTTTCTAGTTACATTTTCTTTTCAAATAAATTGTTTTAATTTCTGCTTTTAACTACCCTCATGATCTAGGTAGCATGTTGTTATTTACATTCTCCAAACATAAAAACTAAGGTTTAGCCAGTTGCGGTGGTGCACGCCTGTAATCCTGTAATCCCAGTGGCTTGGGAGGCTGAGGTTGGAGGATCGAATTCAAAGCCAGCCTTAGCAATGGTTAGGTGCTTAGCAACTCAGTGAGACCTGTCTCTATATAAAATACAAAATAGGGCTGGGGATGTGGCTCAGTGGTCAAGCATCCCTGAGTTCAATCCCTAGTACCCAAAAATAAATAAATAAGATTCAAAGCATTTGACCAGCTTAGGTTTTTATATTTCTCTTACATGCAGTTTGGTCTAGTATAAGATTTCACTGATAGAAATTTATAAAGACTTTTTTTTTTTTTTTGGTGGATCCAAGGCCTTGTACATGGTAGTCAAATACTCTAGCACTGTGCTATACTCCCAGCCTTGGAATCACATTTTGAAAGGTAGTAGAAATTTTTCTTAAAAAGAATAGCAATGTGTCAATGTGCTCTAATAAAAAATTTGTAATCTCAGACTGCAGTAACAGAAATGTCACCATTATGTTGTTTGTAGGTACTATGCACTAAAAAGAGCATACTATATTTTTCTCCTACCAACTTATTCCTTTTCAATGGTTGGAAAAATATATTAAAGTTATCTTAAATGTAAACATTTTATTTTCCACAAATTTTCTTAAATTCTTAGCAAAAGCAAACATGCCACTTAAGATCTCCTCTTAAAAATCTACTTACATTCTTTTCTCTAAAACATGCCACACCCTTAAAGCCAATAGATGAACTGGAAAACTTGTGGGGTTTTTTTATTTTTGTTTTTGTTTTTGTCTGTTGTATTATACTAGAGATAGAACTGAGGGGCACTTTACCACTGAAATATACCCCCAGCCCTTTTAATTTTTTATTTTGAGACAGTGTTGTAAAATTGCTAAGGCTAGCCTTGAATTTGCAGTTTTCCTGCTTCAGTCTCTAGTAGCTCAGTCTATGGGCATAAGTCACTGTGCCTGCCTAACCAAGAAACTAAAGAGAATCCAAGAAAATACTCCTGCTTGGGAGACTGAGGCAGGAGGTTCACCAGTTCAAACCCAGCCTCAGCAACTTAGCGAGGGCCTAAGCAACTCAGTGAGACCCTGTCTCTTAAAAAAGGGCTAGGGATGTGACTCAGGATAAGCGCCCTTGGGTTCTATCTCTGGTACCAAAAAAAGGAAAATATTCTTCGTGGGGCACAGTGGCACATTCCTGTAATCTCAACCTCTGGGGAAGCTAAGGCAGGAGTATTCCAATAAGATAAGCCTCAGTAGCTTTGTGGGACCCTCAGCAACTTAAGGAGACCTTATCAATATCACCTTTGCTGTTTTGAAAACATCCTATTACTTTCTATCTCCTTTCACACTCATAGGCTAAAATTAAATGAGTCCTACCTCTTATAGACAATTGTTATAAAGATCCTTTAAAAGTTTAACCCATTCTGTTCTATGCTTAGACAGTGTACAATATCTTTCTTTATTCTCCAGAAAATCATTTACTATTAGAAGGTTAACAGCTTAATTACTTATCTGCATAATTATCTCAACTATAACTCTTAAACCACAAAAATGATCCCTGTGATTTTTATTTATTTATTTATTTATTTTTTTGGTGCTGGGGATTGAGCCCAGGGTCTTGTGCATGTGATGCAAGCACTCTTCCAACTGAGTTATATCCCCAGCCCTCCCTGTGATGTTAATATGTATTTTGGAGCCAGGTGTCATGGTGCATGTCTATAATTCCAATAATTTGGGAGGCTGAGGCAGAAGGATTGCAAGTTGGAGGCCAGCCTAAGCAACTTAGTTAGATCCTGTCTCAAAAAAAAAAAGGGCTGAAGATGTGGCTCAGTGGTTAAGTACTCCAGGGTTTAATTCCCAATACCAAAAAAAAAAAAAAAAACACACAAAACAAAAAACCCAATATATATTTTGGAAAAAATTTACCTTGATAGAGATCCAGAAAGTCAAAGATCAAATATTTTCTCTAATATGCATTAGCTAGTTCAAAATAAAGGGGGAAAGAACAAAAAACCTTTGCGGGGAGGGGGTTCTATTAAAATAGAAGAAAGATCAGATCAGTGAAGTAGAGGAAGGGAATTGAGGGAGAGGGAGGAGGGACAGGATAAGGGAAGAACAATGGAAGTGAATCTAACCTAACTTTCCTATGTACATATTTTTATTTCCTATATACATATTTTTCTCTTTGTCTATTTTTTTAAAAAATATATTTTTTAGTTGTAGGTGGACATAATACCTTTATTTTATTTTTATGTGATGCTGAGGACTGAACCCAGTGTCTCACGTGCTCTAGGCAAGCACTCTGCCACTAAGCCACAGCCTTAGCAGTTTATCAAGGCCCTGGGAAACCTGGTGAGACCCTGTCTCAAAATAAAAAATAAAGCACCTTTGGGCTGGGGATGTGGCTCAAGGGGTAGCGAGCTCGCCTGGCATGCGTTTGGCCCGGGTTCAATCCTCAGCACCACATACAAACAAAGATGTTGTGTCTCCCGAAAACTAAAAAATAAATAGTGAAAAATTCTCTCTCTCCCTCTCCTCTCTTTAAAAATAAATAAATAAATAAATAAATAAATAAAGCACCCTGAGTTTAATCCCAAGTTCCCTTGCCAAAAAAGATAATATTAGTATTTATAGCTAGTTGCCTGCGTATTTCCTTTTATTGAGTTCTGTAATACTTCATGTATCTGAAAGTTATTGTCTTGTGTTTTTTAATTTTACCTTGAAGACTTCCTTATGCATTTCTTCCAAAGCAGATCTAGTGGTCATGAACTTTCTCAGCTTTTGTTTATTTGAAAGTGTTTTAATGTTTGTTTGTTTTTTTTTTTTTTTGTCCTGCCTTCTCTCTTCCAGAGTTTTCTGGTGAGAAGTCTACTGATAGTTTGTTGAAGTTTACTTGTATATGACAGGCTGCTTCTTGTTGCTTTCAAGATTTTCTGTCTTGTCAGAAAGTTTGATTGTGATAAATCTTCGTATGAGTCTTTCTGAGTTCCTTTTACTTAGACTTCAGTTAGCTTCTTGAATGTTTAAAGTCATGTTTTTCATTAAATTTGGGAAGTTTTTGTTTTTTAATTTATTTTTTGTAGTACTAGGGATTTAACCCTGGGGCATTCTACTACCTTGCTACATTTCCAATCTCACTTCTCTTTGACATATGGTCTTGCTGAGTTGCCCAGACTGTTCTCCAACTTGTTATCCTCCTGCCTCAGCCTCCTGAGTTGTTACCATTATAGGTAATCACTACTGTGCTTGGCAAATTTAGGAAGATTTCAGGCATTATTTTTCAAAATTTTTTCTGCCTTTCTCTCTTGTTTCTCCTTTTGGGACACCCATAATAGATATATTGTTCTGCTTGATAGTATCTCATGGGTTCCTTATGTTTCCTTTTTCTTTAACCTTTTTACTTTCTGCTCCTCAGATCTAATACTTTCCATTACCCTATCTTCAAGTTTATTGATACATTCTTCTGCATTCAAAGACTAGTAAATTTTTCATTTCTTGTACTTTATAGCTTCTTTTTTTTAGGTTCTGTCTCATTTTTGATATTTGCATTTTGTTAATGAGTTGTTTTCTTGATTTTTCTCTATATCTTCCTGAAGCTTTTTTTTCTCCTATGTGTGAGTATGTGTATGTGATATTGGGGACTGAACTGAAGGGTGTTCTGTGACTGAGCTACATCCCCAGTCCTTTTAAAGTTTTATTTTGAGAAATAGTCTTGATCTTGATGATAAGTTGCTCTGGCTGGCCTTCAACTTGAGATATTCCTGCCTCTACCTTTGAGTCACTGGGATTATAGGAATACATTACTATGAGTAGCTCCTATAGTTGTTTTTGTTGTTGTTGTTTGTTTATCTCCAACACAGTTGTTTTAAAGCATTTGTCTAGTAGATCTGCCACCAGGTCATTTCCATGGACAGTTTCTGTTGATTAATTTTTTTTCCTTTGAGTGGTCCATAATTTCCTGTTTGTATGTCTTGCAAGATTTTGTTGAGAACTGGTCATTTGAAACTAATAATGTGGTAACTCTGGGAATTAAGATTTTTTCCCCCCTTCTTAGAGTTTACTTTTGTTGTTGTTGTTATTTTTATTGTTAAAGGCTGTATTTGTGCCAAGGGTTAGATTGAGGCATAAACTTAATGTCTTCTTATTTATTTTCTGAACCTGTAGCTTTTCCTGAGTATGTGTGAGAATTTTCTTATTTTCCCTGTGTATTTGGTTGTTTTTGAATGTCCTAGTCTTTTTATTAATTTTTTTTTCTTTTTTTTGCCATAAAGTCTCATTATGTTGACCAGGCTAGTCTCAGATTCTTAGGCTTAAGTGGAACTCCAGTTCCAATTCCAGCTTCCTGAATAGCTGTTTTGTTTTTTTTTTCCTAATGTCCTAATATTAAATATTTGGGTACCAAAGGGGAAAAGGAAAGGAGGACAACAAAAGGAAGGAAAAGTGGGTACTGAGCTTTAAATTGCCTGGAAGTCACTTGAACTATAGGGAGAGGATCTCACAGTAAATTGGGGGGATGGGTGCAACAACAATAGACACTTTCTCTTTATTTATACATTAGTGATGTGAAGTAGCAGTCAGAGCACAGATCCTTGATATTTGGAACACAAGGTCCTTCTTGGCAACTCTAAACTTCCAAAGCTACATGCAGTCAGCTCTAGGAACAGCTCTAGGACCTCTCCTGCAATAGGGCAGGGGGCACAAAATATTGACTTCTACTGTGTTTAAAACTGAAGTTATTTATAATTTACATCCAAAGATTTCCCCTGGAAGTTGTAAGCTTTCAGACCTCAAAAAAATCAGTACAGGGCTGAGACCTCAAAAAAATCAGTACAGTGGTAGAGTGCTTGCCTAGCACATGTGAGGCACTGGGTTTGATTCTCCAGTGCCACATTAAAAAAAAAAAAAAAAGTTGTGTCCATGTACAATTATATAATATTAAAAACAACAACAACAGTACAGTCACATCAGACAGATTCTACCATTGGAGTAGTTGTCAAAAGAGAGACGGGTTGTGGCTAAGTGTTAGAGTGCGTACCTAGCACATGCAAGGCCCTGGGTTCGATCCTCGGCACCGCATAAAAATAAATAATAAATAAAGTAAAGGTATTGTGTCCAACTACAACTAAAAAATAAATATTAAAAAAAGAGAGACAGAAATATTTATACCTGGTACTTCCACTCTGCCATCTTCTCAGGTTTCTCCTACTCTGTGTATGTATGTTTGGAAGTGAAGGTTGAACTCAGGGGTACTTTACCACTAAGCTACATCCCCAGTTCTTTCAGGTTTTTTGTTTTTTTGTTTTTTTTTCCTTTTAATTTTGAGACAGGGTTTTACTAAGTTGCTGAGGCTGGCCTCAAACTTAAGATCCTTTGCCTCCCCAGTCTCTGAAATTACAGGGGTATGCCACCGTGCATGGCTTTTTGTGTGTTTTTATTATTTTATATTCCTAGCACTTAGAACAATGTCTGGCATTAAGTGCTCAGTAAAAATAAGTTAAATAAATGAAGGAAAACAGTGATAGTTATAGGTATTACTTGCATCCTAGATATAGTTTGAAGATGAGACTACTGAATTTATTAATGGATTTTGGTGAGATGAGTGACAGAGAAGGATTTGTCAAAGATCCATCTAGACTTTTGGCCTAAGTGTGTAGAATTTTTATTTCTTGAGATAGTTCAATGGAGAGCAGCAAATTGGGGAATAAAGTGAATTGTCATATTCTAAGGTTATAAGTTTAAAAGTTGTTAAAATACTTTTTTAAAAGTAACTGAATGGGGCTGGAGTTGTGGCTTAGTGGTAGAGCACTTGCCTAGCATGTGTGAAGCCCTGGGTTTAATTCTTAGCACCACATATGAATAAATGAATAAAAAATAAAAGTACATCAACATCTAAAAATATATATATATTTAAAAAAAAAGTAACTGAGGGCTGGGGCTATGGCTTAGTGGGTAGAGTGCTTGCCTTGCATGCACAAGGCCCTGGGTTCGATCACCAGCACCAAAAATAAATAAATAAATAAAAGTAACTGAAAAACATTTGTTCTCAAAAGTTTCTTCTACTTAACTTTAACATTGCATAAGCTTTGGAGTCTTTTATATTTACCATATTTATTTGTGTTTTCTCAGGTCATGCGCATTGTGGATAATGTCCGTCCTGATCGACAGACGGTTATGTTTTCAGCTACTTTCCCCAGAGCTATGGAAGCTTTGGCTCGTAGAATCTTGAGTAAACCCATTGAAGTACAGGTTGGAGGCAGGAGTGTGGTTTGCTCAGATGTGGAGCAACAAGTGGTGGGTATTGTTGTTAGGAAATCCCTAGTTTCCTTGATATGTAGGCAGGTTGTGTGATCTTTTTGGGATCAGTGTTTGTGAGGTGGATAGATAATTTCTAAAATTAAGTGGTCTGCATTCATTGTAGGCTTCAGTATTTTACCAGGTGTATTTGACTGTGTTGTTATGTGGAAGTGACTATTTAAAATACTCTTTTTGGTTTCTTTCATCAGAGGTGGGGTAGATAGAAATGTAACACACCTGTCTTAGAATCTTTGATTACTTATGAAGTTAAGAGATGAGCAAACAGATGATTGCTTGCTCATATTTGCAAAATTTTTATTCCCTAAAGATTTATAATTTTTTTAAGTTACTTGCTTTTCAATTAAAGTCAGCATTTTCCTAGCCCTTCCTTAAAATATAGAATTATCTTGAATTATTTTGTATTCACCACACACTAGATGAGTATTTCTGTCCAAAGGTTGTGTTTGCATTTTTAGTCCAATAACTTGGTGTAATTTGGTGTTTTCAGATTGTGATTGAAGAAGAAAAGAAATTCTTGAAGTTACTTGAGCTTCTAGGCCATTATCAAGAATCAGGATCTGTCATTATATTTGTGGATAAGCAGGAACATGCTGATGGTCTATTAAAGGATTTAATGAGAGCATCTTACCCTTGCATGTCTCTTCATGGAGGTAATGTTTAAGCTCCGTGGTATAATCCGAATGATAATATTTGCTTTGTTCTCTGTAATTTAGATGTGTTTTATATTATTTATCTCAGTTTTTACTGAGATAAATAATATAAAAGTTAATGAGACAGGCATACATTGGATTTTTGTGTAACTTTAGATATAACTTCAGCATTTTTATGTATATATGGGGCTTAGAACACATGTGAAACAGGTACAGTTTGAATTACCCTCATCAAGCAGGTATTCTGGCTGTCTGGCTTTGTACTGCACTACTTTGGAATTTAGAGGCAACGCTCTTTAATTTTCTTATAATTCTGCAATTTGGGCAGAATTTGACATATACATCTACTCTGTGTTTCATGCTTTGTAGCTTATTCGGAGTTTGAGTAGGGTGGCTCAGTGGGGCTTATGATCTACTTTCAATTTGCCTCACTTATGTGGCTGGCAAGTTGGCACTGGCTCTTGACTAGGACATCAGTCAAGCTATTGGCCAGGGATTCTTGTGGGCTATTAGGTTTTTTAAAGCCTAAGACAAGAAGCAGAATCTGGCATGCCAATAGGGACAGTCCTGGGAATTAACAGAGTTTTTATTTCTTTTATGTACTATAGGTCAAAATAGTCCCAAGACTGGTCCAGATTTAGCGGGATGGAGGTATAGACTCCACCTCTTAACAAGAGAGTATCTTACCACATGCAGAAGATAATGTGGGACAGGAGATACTTTTTGTTGTCATCTTTGGAATATACAGTCTACCATACCTGGCTTCATGTGGGATGAAATTAAATGGGCTTGTATTCCTTTAACTTTGTAAAAGCATTTGTTTTATTTGCTATGCTGGGGATTGAACCCATAACCTTATGTACACTAGCCAAGGACTCTGCCTCTGAGATACATCACTAACAGGGTTAGGTTAGTTACCTTCTTACCTCCTCCTCCTCCTCCTTTTTTTTTTTTTTGGTACTGGGGATTGAACCCAGAGATATTTAACCACTGATCCACATCTCCAACCACCCCCCACCTTTTTAAATAGTTGTAGATGGACAGCATGCCTTTATTTTATTCATTTATGTGGTGCTAAGGATTGAACCCAGTGCCTCACACATGCTAGGCAAGTGCTCTGCCACAGAGCTACAGCCCCAGCACCCCCAGCCCTTTTTTATATTTTATTTAGAGCCAGGGTCTCTCTGAATTGCTTAGTGCCTCAGGTTTGCTTTGAACTTTTGATCCTTCTGCCTCAGCCTCCTGAGCTGCTGGGATTATAGCATGTACCACTGTGCCTGGCTGGTTAGTCAACTTTTAATGTTTTAAAATGAGTTATATTTTCCTTTTTTAAAAAAAAAATATGGTAAATATACATTAAACAAATTTTCCTTTTTTAACCATTTTATTGATTGATTGATTGATAGATATGATCCAGGGGCACTTAACCACTTAGCCATATCCTTAGCCTTATTTTTTTTAATGTATTTTGTTTTACACAATACCTTTATTTTATTTTTATGTGGTGCTGAGGATCGAACCCAGTGCCTCACACGTGCAAGGTGTGCGCTCTATCACTGAGCCACAACTCCAGCCTCCTTATTTTTTACATTTTATTTAGAGGTAGTGTCTTGCTAAGTTGTTTAGGGCCTTGCTAAATTGCTGAGGCTGGCTTTGAATGTGTAATCTTCTGGCCTCAGCCTCCTGAGTCATGGGATTACAGGCATGTGCCACCATGCCTGGCTCAGATTTCCATTTTAAGGCTAAATAATATGCCATTATTTTTATATACCACATTTTCTTTATTTACCTGTTGATGGAGACCTGGGTATCCTTTTGGCTATTATGTATGATTGACTGAATGTGGTGTACAGGTATCTTGTGTAATGTCTTCAGTTACTTTGGATGAATGCCTTGGAATGGAATTGGTATGGTAATTCTGTTTAAGTTTCTGAGGAACTATCAAATTGATTTCCACAGTGGCTGTACCATTTGATATTCCCACCAGCAATGCACTGGGGTTCCAATCTCTCTCTGTCTTGGTTAATACTTGCTGTTTTCCTTTTTGTTTTTGTTTTTGTTTGTTTTGATAATAGCCATACTAGTGGGTGTTATATCAAATCTCATGACTCTGATTTGTATTTCTCTAATAAGATGTTAAGCATCTTTTTAATGTCATTATTGGCTATTTGTATTTCTTATTTGGAGAAATGTATGTTTGAGCCCTTTATCCAGTTTTTAACTGGCTTGTTTTGGTTTTTGCTATAGGGTTTCTATGTTCTGTATGATAATGTGTTATCAGCTATATGATTTGCAGATGTTTTCTTCCATTCTGTGAATTTCTTCTCTTTAGATAGGGTCTCTTGAGTACCAAAGTTTTACATTTAGAATCTCAGTTTATTTTCTTTTTGTGTCTGTGCATTTGTTGTCATATCAAGGAAATCATTGCCAATCATTGCCAAATCCAAGATTATGAAAATTTTATCCTTCTAAAAGTTTTATAGTTTATTAGCTCACGTGTTTAGAACTTGGTGGGGTTTTTTTGTCCTTTTTTTTTTTTTTTTTAAATCAACCCAGCCTGGTCTTGAACCCACTGCAGCCTCCCGAATGACTGGGAGGGACTACAAGTGTAGTGTGTGTCACTATCACCCAACTTGATACATTTTTATTTAATTTTTATATATGATGTAAGATAGGGTTCAAGCTTTTGCATCTGGCCTCCTTTACCATTAATTAATTAATTGACTGTATATGTGAGGATTCTCTTCTGGGCCTTGTTTATCTCCATTGGTTTATGTCTGTTGTATGCCAAAGTCTGTCTTTATAATTTGACTTTTTTTGCTTTTAGTATTTTTAAAGAGCATTTCTAGGTTCATAACGAAGTTGAGCAGAACTTTGGGTTGAGAACTTAGGTTTCTCACATACCTTTAGCCCCTCCCCCAAACTTCTTCACTGTTAAAATCCTTGCATCAGAATGGTACCATTGTTAAAAATCAACAAACCTACATTGACACATCATCACTGACATACAAAGTCCATAGTTTATACTAGGGTTCACTGTTGGTGGTGTACTTTCTATGGATTTTGACAAATTTATATTGATTTTTGTCCATCATGCAAGATAGTTTTCAGTGTTCTAAAAATCCTTCATCACACTCTTCCCCTTAACATTGGCAATTATTAATCTATTCACTTTCTCTAGAAAGCATTGCATTTACTTTTTAAATTAATCTCAAATCACTAGTATAACTAATACTGATACATATAACTTTTATTTTTGCCATATTGGCCTCATTATCTTAAAAATGTTTTTGTTGCTATTTGCTGCAAAGCTTCTAGTCCAGAACTTTAGTAATTCTATACATTTGAAACATGGGCTCAGGTTTCTTACCTGTGATAATTTCTTTCTGCTGTTTGTTATTCTGTATATCTTAATTTAAAAAAAAAAATTAGTTGTAGATGTACACAATGCCTTTATTTAATGTATTTAATTATTTTTTTGTTACCAGGGATTGAACTCAGGGGCACTTGGCCATTGAGCCACATCCCTGGCCCTATTTTGTGTTTTATTTAGAGACAGAGTCTCACTGAGTTGCTTAGCACCTCACCATTTCTGAGTCTGGCTTTGAATTCATGATCTTCCTGTCTAAGCCTCCCCAGCTTCTGGGATTACAGGCATGTGTCACTGCGCCCGGCTAAAGTATTTATTTTATATGGTGCTAAGGATCGAACCCAGTGCCTTATATGTGCCAGACAAGCGCTCTACCACTGATCTATAACCCCAGTCCTGTAGTTCTTAATTTTAAATGTTTTGTTTAAAACTGGTTTGTCCGTGTATGTTTGAGAAGTGTGGGTATTGATGTGTCTGACATGCATGGTTTTTTGTTGTTGTTGTTGTTTTGTTTTTTTAATTTTTAGTTGTAGTTGGACACAATACCTTTATTTTATTTATTTATTTTTATGTCGTGCTGAGGTTTGAACCCAGGTTCTTGCACATGCTAGACAAGCACAGTACCACTGAGCCACAACCCCAGCCCCTGAAATGTGTGTTAATTATTGTTTTTACCTTTGTAGAAGAAATAAATGCAAACAGCAAAACATATGGTCCATTCTTGCTAGAGTTATTAGAATTGCTAAAAATATTTATGTCTTTGGAATGTGACTAAACAAGAGGATATATTGAATATGTTCATTTATGAGGATGCACACTATGGTATATTTATTCTTTGAAGATCGATCTGCATAAATGGCCAGTCTTGTTGACAAAACTAGCATTTAATGACTTGATAGCTCTTTATGTTTACTCTGTATATAGTGAGGGGGAAACTCAGAGATATAAGACTGTCTTCTACAGAGCTGCCTGTAGCTGCTCAGGTCTGGAGGGGATAGGGTAAGTGGTGGGAGATAATAGGAGTGTGAATTGTGTGTTCTACCCACTGTTAGCACTCAACCTAAGAAAAATTTCTCAGTACAACAGTCAAAACATTTCATGATTGCTTGATTTTTTTTCATTAAGAGATTTGCCAGGACAAGACAATTGCGGTTTATGAACAAAATACATGAAGAACATGTTGTTCTTAATACTATGTTTTTTTACTTATCACATGCCAACATTCACTTAAGGTGGATTAAAGAATGAAAGAAGAGATCTGAAAATATTTTGATTAAACCATGACTGAAAATTCTATTTTGTCAGTCATCCATTTCTTCCATTTTTGCATTAATATTGAATAATTAAAATTTTTCTTGAAAACATCCTTGGAGTAATATGGTGAACTAAATTTGGAAAGCATTCCAGTGGTTTCTGCTTCCTCATAATTATGGTGTAAAAGAACAAAGACTTTCTGGAGGACAAAATGCTTCTTTGAGGTCTTTGACATGCACTATTAGTATTGATTTTTCTTAATTTTTTATTTGTTTTAATTATACATGACAGTAAAATAGCACTTATATACTTTGATATATCATACATAGATGGGATATAATTTCTCATTTTTCTGAGTATACATATTGTAGAATCACATTGATCATACAGTCACATACATACATAAAGTAATGTCTGTTTTATTCTATTATCTTTCTTATCTCCACATCCCCTACCTTCCCCTCCTTTCACTTCCCTCTACCTAATCTGAGGTAACGCTATTCTTTTTTTTTTTTTTTGCATTACAATTTTTCATATCTCTATTTGTATATAAGGTATGTTGATACCCAATTCAAGTCTTCATACATGTACTTTGTATAATGATGACCATCACATTCCACCATCCTTGTTAATCCCCTTTCCCTTTCCTTTCCCTCCCACTCCTCTTCCCTATCTAGAATTAATCTAATCCTCCCATGCTCTCCCTCTTATATCAGAAAAACTTATGTAAGAAAATCCATTCCAAAGTATTGATTTTTTTGTTTGTTTTTTGCAAATAACAGAAAATATTAACTCAATTGCCTTAAATTGTGAGGAAATTTTATTGTTTCACACAATGCGAAATCTCAAGGCAAAGTGATTCCAGATTTACATTTTGAATCCCAGTTTACTTTTTCCTTTTGTATCTGTGCATTTGTTGTCATATCAAAGAAATCATTGCCAAATCCAAGGGTATGAAAATTTTATCCCTTGTTTTTCTTCTAAAAGTTTTATAGTTTTAGCTCGAATGTTTACAACTTGAAGATTTTTTTTTGTTTTTTTGTTTTTTGTCCTTTTTTCCCTTGTTTTGAGGTCAGCTCAAGTTGGTCTTCCAGCAGAAAGGCTGTGCAAATGCAGTCATCAACTTCCAGAGAAAACAAGTTTAAAGAGAGAGACTATTTCTGTATGTGTATGTCACATATATACACCCTGCCCCCATCCCCCTTTTTTTCTTTTCATAGTATTAGGGATTGAACCTAGGGCAGTCTACCATGGAGCTACATCCCCACCCCTTTTTTATTTTGAGACAGGGTTTGCTAAGTTGCCCAGGCTGGTCTCAAACTTGCAATCCTCCTGCCTTAGCCTCCCAAGTTGCACAAGCCACCATACCTAGCTCTCCTAATTTTTAATTACCAAAATTTTCAAACATAGAAAATCTGAAAAAGAATTATATAGTGAACACCCTTATTTATAGTAGATTCTACAAGTAACATACGTGTGTGTGTGTAAACACACACAGCCTTGTGTATTCTAGTCAAGCTCTCTACCACTGAGCCCATGCCTCTAGCCTTACAGTTAACATTTTTTAAAGAAATTTCTTTCTGTATCTTTAGCTATCCATTCATTTTTTTTTAAAGAGAGAGAGAGAGAATTTTAATATTTATTTTTTTTAGTTTTTGGCGGACACAACATCTTTGTATGTGGTGCTGAGGGTTGAACCTGGGCCGCACGCATGCCAGGCGAGCACGCTACCGCTTGAGCCACATCCCCAGCCCCTCCGTTCATTTTTATTAATAAAATTCATCAGATTTTATTAATTTGTAGCATCAGTTCAGCAATTCTACTTCAATGTCATTAACACTAGTTCAAAATTGTTTTTAAATTTAAAACTATATGGGCTGCAGTTGTGACTCAGTAGTAGAGTACTTGCCTAGCACATGTGAGGCACTGGGTTCGATCCTTAGCGCCACACAAAAAAATAAACAAAGTTATTGTGTCCCATCTACAACTAAAAAAAAAAACAAAACTGTATTTGAACTATAGTGAAATGTATGCATCTTAAGTATACCATTTAATGAATTCTCACATATGCACATAATTTGTTAAACTCAAGCCCTATTTAGATATAATCTCAGTGGGCTTGGGTGGCTCAGGTGTAGAGCACTTGCCTAGCATGTGTGAGGCACTTGGTTGAATTCTCAGCAACACATAAAAATAAAATAAATGAAGGTGCATCAACAACTAAAAATGTGTGTGTGTGTGTGTGTGTGTGTATCTGGGCCTTGTGGCACATGCCTGTAATCCCCGTGGCTCTGGAGGCTGAGACAGGAAGATTAGGAGTTCAAAACCAGCCTCAGCAAAAGCGAGGTGCTAAGTAACTCAGTGAGACCCTGTCTCTAAATAAAATTTAAAATCGGGCTGGGGATATGACTCAGTAGTTGAGTGCCCCTGAGTTCAATCCCCAGTACAGAAAAAAAAGAAAAAGATATAAAACCTCATATATTTTCCTGTCAATCCCTGTTCCTACCCCAAGAGCCAACCACTTCAAACATTTTTTTTCCACATAGATTAGTTTTATTTGTTTTAGAATTTCAGACAAATGGAACCATATAGGATGTACTGTTACTTTTTAAGAGGTTACATATGTTTTTTGAGATTTGTCCATGTTGTTGAATGTATCAGTTCTTTATTGCTGAATAATGTTCTAGTCATTTCTTTGGGACACCTAGGCTGTTCCCAGGATTTCGTCTACTTAACCACTGCATAGAATACACCATAATCAGTATATAGAACTTTCCATTACCCCACAAAACTCTCTCATCTTGTCCCTGTAAAGGTAAAGATAATTAGAAAGGCACCCCCTACCCTGGTTTGTAACATCTGGCAAACTTTTGGCCTTTTTTGCTCTCTTTTCTGTGGGTTTTGTTTGCTGTGCTGGGGGCACTGCTGCTTTCTTACAAGAATTTTTGTAAGTGATATCAGCACATAACCTTTTTACAGTTGGCTTTTTTTTTATTATTATTATTCAACATAATAACTGAGATTCACCTAAGTTGTTGCCTAGCTTGTTTTATTTACTGTCGTATTTGTTTATTTTGTATTCATTTATATGGCTGTGTCACTTCTTATTCATCCATTTAAGAACATTTGATTATTTCTAGATTTTAAAATTAAATGAGGGCTGGGGATGTGGCTCAAATGGTAGCACACTTGCCTAGCATGTGTGAAGCACTAGGTTCGATTCTCAGCACCACATAAAAATAAAATATATTGTGTCCACCTAAAAAAAACAAAAAAAAAAAAACTAAAAAATTAAAAAAAATAAATGAGCTGCTGTTAAATATTCAAGTAAAGGTTTTTATGTGAATGTAGATGGGTCATATGGTAAATGTATCTGTGAATGGTTTACTTCATGTATATTTTGTTCATCTAACTTCTAGAATCTGCATTTATGTCATATCTAATTTGGGAAATTTATGGCTTGTTATTTCTTTAATTTTTTTCCTACCCTCTCTCCTTTTTTGTGACTCCAGCTTTGTGTATGTTTTACCTTTTAAAGTTATCTCATATGTGATTTATTCAGTCTTTTTTAGCTTCCCTCTCTTTGTAATTCAGATTGTATAATTTTTGTATCATTTTTTTCTTTATCTTTTTCTTCATCATTTTTAACCTTCAGTTAAGTCCCTCTGATGAGGATTTGTTGTTGTTGTTATTTTATGGTGCTAGGAATCAAGCCCAGGACCTCATGCATGATGCATGATAGGCAGGTTCTTTACTGCAAAGCTGTAACCCCAGCTCTTATCCAGTGAATTTTTTTTTTTTTAATTCAGTTGTATTTTGTGTACATGTGTGGTATTGGGTATTGAACCAAGGGCCTCATGCATGTATTTTGTTAGTCCTAAACTTTCCAGTGGTTTCTTTTCTACATTTTCTTGTGGTTTTTTTTTTGTTTGTTTGTTTTGTTTTAGATTTTCAATACATTTATTATAAGCATTAAAAAATCCTTGATCATAGTTATTATAGGTGCTTGAAAAAATCTTTATTAAATATAACATCTGTGTTATTTTGATGTCAGTCTCTAATGATTATTTTCTGTTGATTTTGTTTCAGGTTTTTCTGTTTATATGCCTAGTAATTTTTGTTTTTACACAAAACTTTGTGAATAACACATTGTAAATATTCTGAATTCTCTTATGTTCTGAAGTTCCCACCCCACTGCACCCCTACAGCCTCCCAAATTGTAGGGATTATAGGCAGGCACAACCACACCCAACTCACCATTGAATTGCTGTAGTCTTTTATTTTTATAGTGTAGATGTTGTAGGTGTGGATTTGTTTTTCCTCCACATTTAGATTCTTTCTCTGTCAAAGGGAATGGGAAATTTAATTTGAACATGTTTTATAGTTTTTCTCTTTACTTGCAGGTATTGATCAATATGACAGAGACAGTATTATAAATGACTTTAAGAATGGGACCTGCAAACTTCTTGTGGCCACCTCTGTTGCTGCCCGAGGTCTAGATGTGAAACATTTGATTCTTGTAGTAAATTACAGCTGCCCCAATCATTATGAGGATTATGTGCACAGAGCAGGACGGACTGGAAGAGCAGGCAATAAAGTAAAAAGAATTTTTAAATACTTGATTTCCTTTATGTTACAATATAGGTGCTTCTTTAGTGTTTTAAGGAGTAGCTAATAGGAGTTATAGGGACAATTTGAAAAACCCTTGATTATCAGAGTTATGTGGAATGGATGATGTTAATCATTCACACACACACCCCCCTAAGTCTTATTGAAAGGATGTGCTATCTAGATATTGTTTAACAGTTGTGTCTCCTTTTAGATTTTTCGCCCCTTTTTTTTTTTTTAACATGAGATCATAAAATAGACCTACCCACATACACATCACACATAGATATATATGTTCACAACCCCCCGCCCCTTTTTTTTTTAACTGGGCTAGGGATCAAATCCAATGCCTTCTGCATGTCAGGCACGTGCTCTGCCATGGAGCTACATCTCCATCCAGCCTTTTAAATTTTATTTTAATAGTATTTGGAGACAGCGTCTTGCTAAGTTGCTGAGGCTAGCTTCAAACATGCTGTCTTTCTGCCTCAGCCTTTCTAGTTGCTGGGCTTACCAGAGTATGCTGCTGTGCCTATCCTGTTTTATTAGTCTTAAAGAAATATACAGAATGCTATATCCTAGGAAGTTAATATGTGTTAAAGTGATATAGCAGGTAGTAAAAAGAAGATGATATTAAGCATAAAAGAGAAAAATTAATGAAATTAATACGGTAATGCAATTGTGTATTTGTGTCAAGTTTCATTTTTTTTTTTTTAATTACAAAGAAATTAGATATTTTCTTGTTTTATGTATCTTTTTTGAGGTGGGGAGTGTTGAGCCTGGGACCTTGCACATTTTACGCAAGTATTCTACCACTGAACCACATGCCAGGCTGCTTATTTTATTTTTAAATGTTGAAATTACATATTTTCCTTTGAACTATTTAAGAATTTAATAGGACTCTTTTGTGGCCATTAAAGTTCTTTAGTGTTGGTGTCAGTCTCAAGAGGATTTATTAGGTGGATCATATTTAATTTACTTTTGATCTAAGTAGGATTTGTCTTATTAATATCTAATAATTTTACTTCATCATTTTTTAGGGATATGCCTATACTTTTATCACAGAAGATCAAGCTCGCTATGCTGGTGACATAATTAAAGCTCTTGAATTGTCAGGGACTGCAGTGCCTCCTGATCTAGAGAAACTTTGGAGTGATTTCAAAGATCAACAGAAAGCTGTGAGCTTTTTAACTTGTGTTTCTCTTATGCAAATCATAATGTGAATACTTGATACTTGGACATCTTGATGGACTGTTTTGATTTATTTCTTTAAAGAGGAAAAAGTAAAAACAGTTCTCTTTCTTTGCTTGAATTTAATGTTTTATAAAGTTCTGTAGAGTTCTTCATTTTTCTTACAGACTAGGTGAAGCATTTCTGTTAAATTTGCAGGTACCATTTTTGGAAAATATTTAAAATCTCTAATTTTTAAAATTTTTCTTTGAAAGGAAGGAAAAATAATTAAAAAGAGTAGTGGGTTCTCTGGTAAGGGATTCAAATTTGATGAAACCGAACAAGCTTTGGCTAACGAGAGGAAGAAATTACAAAAAGCAGCTCTTGGTCTGCAAGATTCAGATGATGAGGATGCTGCAGTTGATGTAAGTATATTCTAAGTTTCACTAACATCAATTGAAGTAATTATCCCTTCTATGCTAAAGGGCTGACCATAGGCTTGTTGAGGGAACCAGTCCCTAGAAACCTTGGCATGTACCCTCCCAATATTATTTTCTCTTTGTGTATTTTTATTTACTTATTTTTCCCTTCTCAACAACAGTTTGTAGAAATATTTTCATTTTAGAAGTTTACTTATATTATTCTTGATGAATTCATAACATTATATGGATATTTCAGAATTGAATGAATTAAACACCTGTTTTTGAATGTATGGATTATTTTCATGTATTCACTATTTGGAATAGAGCTATTATAAACTATATTTCATTGTTCGTTCTTGTACATTTAACTTTTGCACACCCACTAGATTACCTCTTGAGGATTAGTTAATACTAATTGCTAAGCTGTTAACTTAGTCTTAAACATTGTCAGATGGTCCTCCAGCAAGGGAGTATCAGTTTGTACTCATTGTATTGGTATGAAAGAATGCCTGGCTCCCGTACATTTAAAAATATTGTATTACTATTGTTTTTTGTTGTTGTTACTGCTGCTATGTTGATATCGGGTCTCTTTCCTTGGGCTCATGTGATCCTTCTTCCTTGCCTCCTCAATAGCTGGGACTACAGGTCCATGCTACTGCACCCAGCTATCAATGTTTTTTATTCTTTTTAAATTGAGTAATTATCAAATAGCTTTATTAATAGTAATACTCAGAATTTATTGAGTGCTACTAAGTAGCACATGCTGTGCCAAGTGCTTTACCAGGGATGTTTCATTACTTCCTCACAGTTGGCATATAAGGTACATACTCAAAATATTTGCCATTTTATAATCGAGTAGACTGAGGCTTAGAAAAAAATAATAACCTTTTCAGGTTTACACAGCTAGTATTATTCTTATTAAAGCCTATATTCTTAGCAGGTTAAGGTTTTCAGAGTGTGGTTTTACAGCATTAGAAAAGAATTATTACCATTATAATTTTGGAAAATCTGTCTAGTATATACAAATAATGCACTTCCAAGGATATGAAAAATTCTTTTTTTTTTTTTCCTTTTTCCTTTTTGAGTACCAGGGATTGAACTTGGGGCACTTGACCACTGAGCCTCATCCCTAGCCCTATTTTGTATTTTATTAAGGGTCTCACTGAGTTGCTTAGCCTCGCTAAATTGCTGAGGCTGGCTCTGAACTCTCGATCCTCCTGCCTCTGCCTCTGCCTCTGCCTCCCTCGCTGCTGGGATTACAGGCATGCGCCACCACACCCAACCTGAAAAATTCTTAAGGAAGACCATTTAACTTTGGTTAAGCTAGAACATTTCCAGTACATTGATCATACCACAGTTTGTTTGTTTTTAAATTAGATTAAACCTTATCTTGCTTATGGGAATTAGGAATTCAATTTCATCTTTGCATTGAGGAAATGGAGGCTCTGTAAAAGTATTTGGGTAATCCCAGTGGCTTGGAAGGCTGAGGCAGGAGAATCGAAGGTTCTAAGCAAGCTCTAGCAAAAGGGAGGCACTAAGCAACTCAGTGAAATCCTGTCTCTAAATAAAATATAAAATAGGGCTGGGGTTGTGGCTCAGTGGCCAGGTGCCCCTGAGCTCAAACCTCAGCACCAAAAAAAGAAGGTATTTTATCCAGATCTACCCAGGGAAGTAAGCCTAACCAGGACCAGAGCTCAGCTCTCCCATTATCCCAAGGTCATTTCTTTTTAGTTTACCTACTATCTCAAAATTCAAAAAAATCCATTTTTAATTACCTATTATTGTGTAAGAAACCAATACAAAACTTAGCGGGTTAAAATAATAAGCAGTTATTATCTCATAGTTCCTGACAGGCAGGAATGGGTGTCTAGCCAACTACTTCTGGCTTGGACTTTCATGGGTTGCAGCCAGGTGGTTGGCCCAGTCCCCTGATGGTTTGACTGAGGCTTCTATGATGGCTCACTCACTTTGATATTTACAGGGTGCCTTTGTTCTCTTCTCTGTCTGTGTGTCCTCAGGCAGCTGGCTTCCTCCATAGAGAATGATCCAAGAAAGAGAAGAGGAAGCTTTAGTGCCTTTTATGACTAGTGTTTGAAGCTACACACTGTCACTTCCATTTTCTTCTATTAGAAGTCACTGAGTTCATCTCACACTCAAGGGGAGGCTTTACTTCTTAAATAATTTGTAGCTGTATTTTCAGACCATCTCTTATTACTTTTTTATATTACTTTTAACAGTTTTAAACATTTTGTGATTAAATATTTGATTGTTTCTTTGGTCATTATAGTAATATAGAACTTAAGAGAAAAAAAGTGAGTAAAGCCCAAAATAAAATCATTCCTATTGATAAAGGACCATCCACATTCTCCATTCCTGATTTAACATATTTGTTTAGATTTTTATATCATACATGCTGTTTAATTTAAAACAGCTTCTAAGCCAAATGTTAGGTTTAAAACTGGCTGATTATTAAAATTTTTGCATAGATAATGAAAAGCTGTTGACTATTTCAGTAAAAGGGCTTTCTAAATTAACCTTATATATCTTTAACCTCAGAGAAACTTTTCTCTGCATTTGAGATTGAGAAGATAAAGCCTTATTAATCTAACGTGGATTTATGAGGGAATTTGTGTTTCTAATCAGTGCCATCAGTCATTGTTGGGCAAAAGGCAGGCTTTTAAAAGAAGTGCAATAGCCAAGCATTATGGCTGGTGCCTGTAGTCCCAGCAATTCAGGACTCCTAGGCATGTGGATCACTTGAGCCCATGAGTTGTAGCCCAGGCTGGACAACGACCCTGTCTCAAAGAGAAAAGAAAGTGCACTACATGAGGGCTCATGTGAGTTCTGGAGCGCTGAGGCCTTCAGCACTGCTCTTAACCTTTATGGGGAAAACAGTCTTTATTTCTTTTCTTCATTGATTCAGAAGAATAAAGCAGTAAGCCCTTTTTTCTGATTGTGTTATCCAGTTTTTAAAGCAAACCCAATTGCATTTTAGGTGTTAGGACTGGAAACCTTGCTCTGAGAATTATTGACTATATTTTTACTTGTCTTCTGGATATGAGTTATAGCACTTCTTCTAGCCTCTTTGCATTATAATTTGTCCTTAAGGTCTAAACCCTGGAATAACTCAGCTGCATCATAAGGACTATTTTGTATTGGCAGCACATGTTTCCTCATTAACTAGACTAAATGTTTTCTGGACTGCTTAGAAGTCTGATTAAATGGTTCATGCAGCATTCTCTCTCTCTCTCTCTCTCTCTCTCTCTCTCTCTCTCTCTCTTTCTTTTTTTGGGGGTAGGGGAGAGGGTGGTGCTAGGGATTGAACCCTGGACCTTGTGCATGCGAGGCAAGCACTTTACCAACTGAGCTATATCCCCAGCCCTTGTATCTCTTCTTGCTTGCTTGCTTACTTACTGTATGTCTCTCTTTCACGATAGACAACAGATTATTGAAGTGAAATGTATCCCTTTAATAAATAGCTGCACAAGGCCATGGGTTCAATCCCCCAGCAACACCCTCACCCCCCACATAGATATATATATATATACACACAAATGTCTGATTTTATCTTTTTGGTGGAACAGTTTCTCGCTCATTTTGTAGAAATTAAATTGGCATTTCTAATCTAGTTTTTACTAATCCTTCCTGTATTTCCTTGGTCTAGATTGATGAACAAATTGAAAGCATGTTTAATTCAAAGAAGAGAGTAAAGGATATGGCTGCTCCTGGAACATCTAGTGTTCCTGCTCCGACTGCAGGAAATGCTGAGAAATTAGAAATTGCTAAGAGATTGGCTCTTAGAATCAATGCTCAGAAGAATTTGGGCATCGAGTCTCAGGTATTAAGTAATTTGTTCCAAGTCTCAGTACTTTTGATTTAGATGCTTTTCAGGAATTATGCTGAGCATAAGTGAAATTGAGTTTGTGAGAATACAGGGTTCTTTGATAATTGCATTTGGATGATGTTGCTAGTCTGATTAACTGAGCGACTTCATGCCTCTTCTGGAGTACCTGTTAGCCATAGATCGTTTTTGTAGAGCAGATGAGCATGTTCTAAAAAATCCAAAATTCAGGATTGAGAATGTTCAATGGTAAACACTTACTTAGCATTGCTCAAAGCCCTGAGTTAAATCACTAGCACTTTAAGAACAAAATGCTCTAAGATCTGAAACTTTTTGATCACCAACCTAATGTCCAAGAAGGTTTGGATTTTGTAGCATTTGGGATATCAAATTTTCCTATTAACTATGTCTACCTTAAAGTCTGTGGATATGCTGAAATCCAGATAAAACTCTGAAATCTAAAATACTTCTTGTCCCAAGCATTTCATATAAGGGATATTCAGCCTGTACTAGATTTTGATTGGTCTTCCCCAAATCCAAGGCAGTTCTGTCTTTCTTTCTTTTTTTTTTCTTTTTTTAAGAGGGAGAGAGAGAATTTTTAATATTTATTTTTTAGTTTTCGGTGGACACAACATCTTTGTTTTGTATGTGGTGCTGAGGATCAAACCCGGGCCGCACACATGCCAGGCGAGCGCGCTACCACTTGAGCCACATCCCCAGCCCAGTTTGTCTTTCTTAATCTGTTATTGACTGAATCTTTTTTGGGCTGACAAATATTCCCTGAATAAGTAAGCATTGGGTTATGACTCAAACTAACATGTATTTAAATTGTGGAGAAATGTGTTCTTAAAATATTTAATGTGGCATCTTTTTCTTGGAAGCATTTAAGTTTTAATTAGAGTAATTTTTCATAGCATTCCCAAAGAATGGCTTATTAATTTCAACAGTATTTTGAAGATATTGTGTAAGTCATTTATTGTAATTTATTGAATGTTTTTTGGGTCAGTGGGAACGGAGAAACTCAGTGATGTTTTTAGAAATACTGCATTGTATCTGCTCTCAAGAGTTAATGATCCACAGAATGTCTGAGATGGTAATAGAGAATTGACTGTTTCTTCGTTTTCTCATCAATGATAAGGGAAATACATTAAACTATTAGTTATATATAGTGCTAAATTAAGCATATGAATGGGACAGTAATTAGAAAGTGGTTTTTTTTTTTTTTTTTTTGGTTGGGGGGATAGTGCTGGGATCAAACCCAGGGCCTTACACATGGTAGGCAAGCATTCGACCACTTAGCTATAATCCCAGCCCTCAAAAGATGATATTTTTCTATTTAAACAGAATTAATGACTTTTCGGAGAATAATTTGTGGTGAGTTCTCTGGTTTTGTCTGTCCTCATTTGAGATTTGACTGTAGATCTTCTTTAACTACAGGATGTGATGCAACAAGCCACCAATGCAATCCTCAGAGGTGGCACCATTCTGGCTCCCACTGTGTCTGCAAAAACCATTGCAGAGCAACTTGCTGAAAAGATCAATGCCAAGCTCAATTATGTGCCTTTAGAAAAACAAGAAGAGGAGAGACAGGATGGTGGACAGAATGAGTCTTTTAAGAGATATGAGGAAGAATTGGAGATCAATGACTTCCCACAGGCAAGTAATAGGTCTAAATATTTTTTTTAATTTTCTTTTAAGTTATTGATGGGCCTTTTATTTATTTATATGCGGTGTTCAGAATCAAACTCAGTGCCTCAGCATGCTAGGTTCCACCACTGAACCACAACCCCAGCCCTAAACATTTTTTTATATCGTGAAGTAGAAACTCTTTGCTTCTTTAAGAACAGAAATCCTTCCTTAAAATGCATGAACAACTGGGCCTGGTGACTCATAGCTATAACTCCAGTGGTTTGGGAGGCTGAGTGAAGAGGACAGTTATTCAAAGTCAGCCTTAGCAACTCAGTCTTAAAGTTAAAAAAATTAAATAAAAAGGGCTGGGAATGTAGTTCATTGTCAAGGGTCCCTGGGTTCAATCCTCAATATTGCAAAATAAATTAAACATGTGAACATTTTAATAGCTACTTTATTTTTTACCTAGAAGGGGAAGATAGCAATTGAAATTCATTTTTTACAAATCTGTTCTAGATACGTTAGGATCCAAAGGAACTTATAATATGTACATGTATTATAATCCTAATATTGATGATAATATATTAGCCAATGTAATATGTGTCAGCATCCTGATTTATAAAATCCTTGTTATGAAGTGATTTTTTTCCTTCCACCCTTCTTTTAGACGGCTAGGTGGAAAGTTACCTCAAAGGAAGCTCTACAGAGAATTAGTGAATATTCTGAAGCTGCAATTACAATAAGAGGAACATACTTCCCTCCTGGCAAAGAACCCAAGGAAGGAGAGCGGAAAATTTACTTGGCCATCGAAAGTATGTACTATTGGTTCTGTTTCAGGCTTGAGTTGGATCAAGGTTGACATAGATGTAATACACACAGAGAATGTGAGGTCAGTTCTAGGAAGGACTGAAAAGAAGGAATACCTGAAAGAAAAAAATAGTTTCATATATTATTTGAGGTTTTTTTTTTTTTTTTTTTTTTTTTAAAGTTTATAAATATACAAAGAATGATCTGTGTGTGGCTCACATTTGAAAATCATGCAAAAAAGAAGTATGCATTTTAAGGACTGACCCATTTATTCTTCATAGAGGTATAATATTCCAGCCAAAGTTTAGGTTAGAAAATAAATCAACTCTGTTAGTCCACTTAATGTTTAAGCCAGTATTGCCTCTGAAGTTATACACAATTGAGTTCATTCATACCTTTAATAAAATGACACATAGACAATACCATACCCTAAAGGATATAAATAATACTTTCTCTAAGAGCAATTAAGGTTGGTTTACAACCATATTTCATAGCATTCCTGAATGAATTCATTCCATTGGCAGTTTCCATCTTGATCCCCCCCCCAGTGGGGGGGAGCTATTCAGTTGCATCCTGATCTATTTTATTTAATCTGAACATCTTTGTAACAGACTTTAAAATTTTTTTTGTGGGGGATTTTTTTTTTTTTCTTTTCTTTTTCATGTGCAAGAGAAGCAGAAAGAACTGGATTGTTAGATAAGTGGACCACTTGTGCTGGCTTCATGTCCATTGCATCACAGCATTGTTTTCAGTACAGAGCCCAGATTGCCAATTTGTTCTAAATGTCCCCCATTTAGAACTGGTTTTAAAATTTATCAATAGCCTTATGCTATTTAAGGCTTAAAGCTGAAATAATGTCTACTTTAGGTTTTAATCACTATTGCAACTTTTAAAATTAAGGTAAAATTCAAATTACATAGAACTTATCATTTTGACTGTTTTAAAATGTGCAATCTAGCCAGATATGGTGGCACATGGGTACAATCCCAGCTACTCTGTAGGCTAAGGCAGTCTGGGCAACTTAGCAAGACCTTGTATCAAAATAAAAAATAAAAAGAGCTAGGGGTATATCTCTGGTGGAGCACTTGCCTAGCATGTGTGAGCCCCTTGGTACAGTCCCCGTGTCACAATGAATGAATGAATGAATGAATTAAATGAAAGAAACAATTCATTGGTTATTTAGTGCATTCATAAAACTTAACAAGATGCAATGAAAGCAATACTCAGAAATTTATTGCTATAAGTGCCTAAATTACAAAAGATCTTAGTTACTACCTTCTTTTGTGCTAGATAACCATTTTCTTGTGTGCTTTGTATGATGCTATGGCTCAAACTCCTGGGCTCAAGCAATTATTCTTCCATAGCATTCTGAATATTTGTGTCCATGTTGTTTCTCTCTCTCAATATACGTGAATATTTGTTGTTATTTAGTTATTTTTGTAGTGATAACCCTGGTTTACAGTTAACATCTTAATATATATCACAGTGTAATTGGATTAATACCAATTTAGTTTTTGTTGCTTTTTGTTTTGGATGCTGGGAATTGAACTTGGGGCCTTGTGTATGATAAGCACACCCAGTATCTCTGATTTTAGTTTTCATAGCAACAAAAACTTTGCTCCTATAGTTCTGTCCCGTTGCTTTTTTGTTGCTATTGTCACGAAGTACATCTTTATATATCCATTATAGTCCCTTCAAAATAAGATTTACAAACTAAAAAGAATACTAACTTATATTTACCTGTGTAGAAATTACCTTTACCAGTATTCTTTATTTCTTCATGTAGATTCAAATTACTGTCTAATGTCTTTTCACTTCAGTCTAGAGGTTTCTTCTAGGACAGGTCTACCAGTAATAAACTCTCCTGTTTAGTTTAACTGAGAATGTCTCAATTTCACCTGTAAAAATAGTTTTTTCTGCTTTCAGTTTTGATAATTGGTTGGTTTGTTTTTGAGAGGGGGTATGCTCTGTTGCCCAGGCTGGCCTTGAACTCCCCAGTCCTCTTGCTTTATTCTCCTGGATAGCTGGGAATGCAGGTTTGTAACATTATGTTTAGCTACACCTTCATTTTGGAAGTATAGTATTCTGGATATAGAGTTTTTTCTTTTAGCACTTTGTACATCATTCTCAGTCTTCTGACTTTCGTGATTTTTGACAGTTGTCTATCTTATTGAGGATCCCTTGTAGTGATGAGTTGCTTTTCCAGGATTCTTTCTTGTGTGTGTGTGTGTGTGTGTGTGTGTTTAAAATTTTTAAATATTTATTTATTTATTTTTAGTTTTTGGTGGACACAACATCTTTGTTTGTATGTGGTGCTGAGGATCAAACCCGGGCCGCACGCATGCCAGGCGAGCGCGCTACCACTTGAGCCACATCTCCAGCCCCTCTTGTGTGTGTTTTGTTTTGATTTGTTTTTGTGGTACTGGAAATTGAACCCAGAGGTTCTCTATCACTGAGCTACCTTCCCAGCCCTTTTATTTTGTGACAGGATCTTGCTAAATTGCTCAGGCTGGTCTTGAATTTGCCATTCTTCTGCCTTAGCTTCCCAAGTAGCTGGGTTCACAGGCACGTGCTGCTGTTCTGGGCTTCTCACTATGTTTTGACACTTTGATTTTTTTGAGCATGTTCTGCTTGGATTTGGGGTGGGGAGGGAAGTATTGAACCCAGGGTAACTTAACCCCTAGTTTCTTCCCCACCCTTTTTAAATTTTAAATTTTGAGGCAGGATCCCACTAAGTTGTCCAAGCTGGCGTGGAACTTGCAGTCCAGCTTTAGTCTCCTGAGTAGCTGGGATCAAAGCCATGTACCACCACACCTGGCTCTATGTTTTTTGTTTGTTTGTTTTAAAGATTTTTGAGAGGGCTGGGGAAGTAGCTCAGTGGTAGAAAACTTACCTAGCATGTATGAGGCCCTGGATTTAATCCTCAGTATTGAGGGTGGGGGGATAAAAGCTGGTTATGATGGCTCATACCTGTAATCCCGTTGATTCGGGAGGCTGAGGCAGAGGATTACAAGTTCAAGGCCAGCCAATTTAAGGAAACTCTGTCTCAAAATATAGAGTTGGCAATGTAGCAGAGTGGTGAAGCACTTCTAGGTTTAAAAAAAAAAATGTTTAGATGTATAGATTTCATCAAAATTTTGTCATTTCTTTATATGTTCTTTCTGCTTCTTTTCCACTTCTCTGAAATTAGTTATGCCTGTGTTGGTACATTTGGTGGTGTCCCATGGTCTCTTAGGTTCTGGTCATTTTTTTTTCATTCCTTTTAATTCTGTCTTCTAGACTCAATCTTGACCTATCCTCAAATTTTGTGATTCTTCTATTGGCTTAAATCTGCTGATGAGCAGTTTTTAGTCCATTTGTTGTACTTTTCAACCCCAGAATTTTTTTTGTGTGGGGGGTTCCATTTCTTCTCTCTTTCTCTCTCTTGGGTCCTGGGAATTGAATCCAGAGCCTTGTGCATGTTAAGTGTACATTATTATCACTGAGCTATACTCCCAACCCTATTCTTTCTTTCTTTTAAAATTATCCTGATATTTTTCAGTTCTATCTATTTGCCGGCAAATGCCATAATTTCATTCTTTATGGCTGAGTAACATTCCATTGTGTATATATACCATACCACATTTTCTTTATCCATTCATCTGTTGTAGGGTACCTAGGACTATTGTGAATTGAGTGGCTGTAAACATTGAAGTGGCTGTGTCACTATAGTGCGCTGATTTTAAGTCCTTTGGGTGTATACTGAGGAGTGGGTAACTACTCATGTGGTGGTTCCATTCCAGGTTTTCTGAGGAATCTCCATACTGCTTTCCAGAGTAGTTGTACCAATTTGCAGTCCCACCCGCAATGTATGAGTGAACGTTTTTCCCCACATCCTCACCAACATTTATTGTTACTTGTTATAGTTTTAATTTGCATTTCTCTAATTGCTAGAAAAGTTGAACATTTTTTTCATATATTTGTATTTCTTCTTCTGTGAAGTGCCTGTTCAGCTCCTTTGCCCATTTATTGGGTTACTTTTTTTGTTGTTGTTGTTGTTTTGTTTGTTTGTTTTTTTGATGTTAGGTTTTTTTGAGTTCTTTGCATATCCTGGAGATTAATGCTCTGAGTTACAGATGGCAAGGTTTTTTCCTATTCTGAAGTTCTCTCTTTGTGTTCTTTATTGTTTCCTTTGCTGTGAAGAAGCTTTGTAAATTTGATAACATCCCATATATTGACTCTTGATTTTACTTCTTGTGCTTTAAGAGTCTTGTTGAGGAAATTGATTCCTAAGCCAACATTTTCTTCTGCTGGGCACAGGGTCTCTAGTCTAATGCCTAGTTCCTTGATCCACTTTGAGTTGAGTTTTGTGCAGGGTGAGAGATAGGGGTTAACTTTCATTCTACAACATATAGATTTCCATTTTTCCCAGAACCATTTGTTAAAGAGGCTATCTTTTTTCCAATGTATGTTTGTAGTGCCTTTGTCTGTTGTGAGATACTATGGGTTTGTCTCTGTGTCTTCTATTCTGTTCCATTGGTCTTCATATCTGTTTTGGTGCCAATACCATGCTGTTTTTGTTACTGTAGCTCTGTAGTATAATTTAAGGTTTGGTATTGTGATGCCTCCTGCTTCACTTTTCTCACTAAGGAGTGCTTTTGCTATTCTGGGCCTCTTATTTTTCCAAATGAATTTCATGACTGCCTTTTCTATTTCTGTGAAGAACATCACTGGAATTTTAATAGGAATTCTTTTATATTTTTACGTGGCCATTTTGACAATCTTAATTCTGCCTTTCCAAGAACATGGGATATCTTTCCATCTTCTAAGGTCTTCTTCAGTAGTTCTCATTGTAGAAGGCTTTTACAAACTCTTTTGTTAGATTGATTCCCAAGTATTTTATTTTTTTCTAGGCAATTTTGAATGGGATAGTTTTCCTGATTTTTCTTTCAGCTGATTTAACATTTTTATGTAGGAGTACAGTTGAGTTATGGGTGTTAATTTTATAACCTGCTACTTTGCTGAA